AAAGAACGCCGCTCCTATCCACCATGGCGAGGCGATGTTTCTCCACAAGGTGGCAGAATAGCTTGAGTTTGAGTGGATGAAAGCTCTCGTGCATCGCAAAGGAGTGTCCCCTTGTGGAGTTGGTCATATCATCGTGAATACAGTTAGGCATGACTTCCAACATGATACGCCCGTGCGTCAACTTTAGATAGCCTTCTTCGACCTGTTTCAGAAGTGTTTGAATCCCTTGACGAAATTCGGAGATGTGCATGGTCTGTGTTCCAATGGAGAGCCAGGCAAATTCAGGATCGATATAGACTTTTGGCTCACGTTTTTGTCCGAATGCCAGGGCCGAAGCATATTGCTGATATTCGTGTACCATGTTAAAGGTAGTTAGGCGTCCTACACGCAAGACCTCTTCGTGGACCGCAATGACTCGTCTGAAATCAAAAAAAAAAAAGATGAAGTAATGAGCGGCGCATGAAGAATCCAAAGGGAGGATGCTGACTCAAGTTCGTCCAGTTCACTTTCTCTCTGGTACCACAATGCATGGAGAAGGCACGTGCTGTTGAGGAAGTATTTCAACTTAGCAAGATCCGGTGTGTAGTCAATGACCTCGTAAAAGTTCCCGTCGCGTCGCAGGGCCTTTAACCAAATAAAACGCTGGATGACATTTGCCCAGGGCTCGCCTTTATGATAACTTTCTGCATTTATCAAAGACCACAAAAATTCATGCAACATGGTGATGGCAGTCTCGTCCAGAGCATTGTTAGAGAAGTTCATATGTGCCAGAAGGGCGACCAAGGCATGTTCCTGTGCAGGATCGAGCTGAAAACTAAACTTTGAGGGATGATCCATTTGGACTCTAAGTCTGACAATCGCTCGGAGAAGTTGGAAGATCATATCGCAGTACGACGTATTTTTATCAGAGATTGGAGCCCAGTAATCCCTACAACGCAGAGGTTAATATGTGTCAAAGCCTGCGAAGATATGCTATTGAGTAGGACAGACTTACGATTTATCTGTGACTTGGCTGCCATGCAAGAGGGCCTTTGCCAGTGTCAGCTTGTGAGGATTTCCTTCTAGGATAGTGGCGGCCATGTCCATATGTGCCTGCATTAGGTCCTTCAAGGCGGAGAAGATATCATGGCATTCCGCCGGACTGTGCTTCTCTTTCAGCATTTGGATCGCCTTAACCTGAGCTGGATCGGAACGGAGATCAGGCATGAATATATCCCAGGACATGGCCTTTATGAGGGGCCTTCGCTCTTCAGGCGACAGGGATGTCTGTACCAGCGGAACATAGAGAGATGGACTAAAAGTATCGTTGAGCACTTTTTCCAGGTCCTTATTCTGGTGCGAGGCGTTGGGATCTACCACAAAGTAGGCTCTTCCCACAGAATCGAAGAGTTGCTGCACTTGAATTTCCTTGCATAGGGGAGGATCCTTACTGCTTCGGAAATGGACGTTTTTAGCATGCTTTTGCATGGTAGCCTTGTCGCAGACGGCATAAACGCAGTCCTGGGAACTCTGGCATAAAAGGGCATTGCGGGGAGGGCCGATGAGCTGGACGGGAGGGCCTCCAGAAGCGGGGATTATGACTTGCTCTTGTCGGCGAAATATTTTGTGCTCTTCTACATAGTTGGCAAGTGAAGACAACTGAAGAGTTGTCAAAGATTGCTTGTGTTTCTCTTTGCGGTGGCCAGCGACCATATCAGCTGTCAGACACTTGCTACAGCTCCTGCAGATAAAAATCCTGAGCGCTGTGTGCATACAAATGCCCACAGAGTCCAAGAGGGCAGAACAGGAAATATAATCCTCTCCAGCATCAAGGGTAACACGATGAGCTCTCTTCATCTGCTCAAGAAGTATGGTGGCCGGCGGAACTTGATGGGGTCCAGTATTAGATTACAGCATTCCTACAAGAGAAGGTCGAGAAAAAGGGCTCACCTGAAATTGCCTGCTGTGTATTGTGTTCCTGGTGGAGAGGCTCGAATGCTGGAAAAAGGTCTGCAGAGTCAACATAATGCAGCCAGACACGGACGGAAATATACCATGAGCACTTCCTGCAGAAGCCTTTTCATCACGACCCGCGGTGGTTGACGTTCCTTGATACAGTAGATAATTTAGTGAACGACAGGGGGGAGTTTGTGCACAACTTACCAGTATCAGTCACAGCGTCAACTTCTCCCTGGGAGGGGGAGGGGGACTGTGCATCTGAAAAGAAGTGAAGTTATGGTGAAAAGTGGGACAGCAGAGATATAGACATAGACTCACGGATCGGGGAGTCCACGTGCTTCTTGAATGATGACCTTGTAGTATAACTGCACTTGCATCCTTCCACGGGACATCTGATACGTTTACCTTCCCACACCACATTGTACATCGTTCCCCCTATTACGACAGGGCCCGGTGCAGTGTGATATTCATGGCGGTGTTTGCTTGCATGATTACTGTCTCGGAGAAAGGCATTGCAGTTCTCGTAGCTGCAGGAAAGCGGGTAATTCACAGGGGGGATAGACATGTCTGGATGGGCGGAGGGGGTAAGTTGTGTTCAGTAATGGGTCTGCTGATTATATAGTGGAAGACTGTAAAATTGACCCTGTCCGACAAAACAGGTCTGAACTAGGTGTAACCTAAACTTGCTGAATATGAAATGTAATCTGTATGACAGAAAAATAAGCGATACAGGATGCTCGGCGAACTTCTCAGCTGATTTAATTCAGTGGGACTGTCACAATTGTGAAGCGGCGATCTGCTAATCACGAATGAAAGGTTCCGAATAGCTAAACTGAATGACAGACTCGAGTCTATTTTCTCTTCTAATAGTATCATGACCATGAGAATTTTTGGGATCTGTGATGGGTATATCCATGCTGAGAGGCAAGCTTGAGATCAATGGAATTGCACTTATGGAATGGAAATGCGGCGTTGGGCAGATGAGAAAGACAGGAGACAGGGGAACCGAAAGATTGGCAGCCGTAGTCCTGATATGTCTTGTTTAGGTGCTTCCTTGGCCCATAGGAACAACGGCCGCGGTTCCGAGAGGCGGAATTACTCTACGTAGTCTGGGCTGTAGAGGAAGAAGATTAAATATAAATCGGTCCAGATATAAAAAAGGCATGTACTATTTTAAAATATTGTTGTCAATGTCGATTGATCTTACTGCCGTCCTCTCGTAAGTTGCTTGAGCGGATTTCAAACCTTTCCTGATTTGACTACTACCGCGTTGGTTAAACCCTCGTATGGGGGATGCTCTACACCTTGTCGCAGAGTATCCTCGTCTTAATTCTCGCTGCATAGAGCCCAAGCCTTCAATGCAAACATTCCTATTCAGTAATTTCCATGATATTCAAATATTCAGTGTACATGATCTTTTTGAAGTAATTTTAAAAGGTGTAACTGTGATAGCCATCTTGTCGGGAGAGAGAAGCAATGGTAAAATCATGCAGAGTGTCTTTCCGGAGCCCGTTGCAGCTCGAAGTACCACATGTCTTCCTGTAAGCAAAGATACGAGGGACTTGATAACTTCGGAATTTCGGTGCCTTTCGAGACAAAATCAAGGTGCGCGAAAGCTTCGAGTACTTTCCGATCTATATCGTTGAATGTGTGTTTTGTTAAAGTCCTTGGAAAGTTTCGAGAGCATTTAAAGCTGATATGGACATAGGAAAATGTTGAAACTCATGGTCATACTAGTCTGGCGATATTACTTGCGCTTGACTGGGTCGGAAGCCATCAGAGTTCAACTGTCTACATCACGTATTACTGCGCTTGACTGGGTCGGGAAGCCATCAGAGTTCAACTGTCTACATCACTTCATACGAAGCTCCACCATGCAAGCTGCCATCTCAATCAGAAGATGAGATTCAGGCATCGTTCTCATCGCTGCGAGGTGTTGTGGCTTTACAATTGGCTTCGCAATTATATTAGGCACTCGACTACGACTACTAGAGCGCTCCCCGTTTTGCGCACCGCCGGTTGCATCTGCCTTGCATCGTATTCCCGGTCACAGAAACCAGGCGAAAGTCAGGTCATGACCAGGCTACATATGCGTATGAACTCAAGTCAGACGTGTTTCGCAACATGCAGATCACCACAGTCGGGCTGCATGACAATACAGATGGCATGCAGAGCTTGGACAATTGGTCCGTGTCCGTATTTTTCACTGCACGATTCGCCTGCTGCACAAACTGGGCGTATTTTTCCGATTCTGACTCGTGAGCATTGCAGTTAATTGTTTGCCTTAGACATCTGTTTAGCGCATTTTTGCTAGCGCAGCAGCGGAACGGAGAATTCAAGAGACCGTATCCGATCATCACGTGTTTACAAAGTCACTTTGTTTGTTGGGGAGCAGCGCACTTACACGCACTGTTTTATCAAGTAAACTACCTAGTTATATTCTACAGTAAGAAAAACCCACCTGCCCAGTGAAAAATTCACATTTCAGAACGCTAGGTCAAAACTCAGAACGTGTCTCGAAAGTTCAAGTGACTGTATATTAAGGTTCAGAAACTTAGGTAAAAGTGAGCCATATATCCGGGATTTGCCATTGCACCCCTCTTGCTTCGTGGCAATGCTTTGTTTCTTCTTTGCCATGGATGAAGACTTGTATGATGGTGTGAAATAAACACAATACTGTGGTTGAAAAGATCTAGGTCATGTAGAACCAGGAAATCCAAGAGGTGTGTTTTCTGCAATTTCCAGTGATTTCCTTTTTGGTCCCACACACGTTAAAAAAATCGTTAATGACCTTACTTTCTCAAATGGCTGTAAGGTGTTTTATTGAGCGTGCTGAAAATTGGTGTTTGGTAAGGAAGGCAGGAGAAAGTGCAAAAGAAATGGCAGTAGCTGCCCTTTTTGTAGCATGCAAGGTCAGAAATGCAGATACAAAGACCCCCAGTTGCGAGCGGATATGAGTTTTTCTAAGTTGTAACTTCCATCAAGCTTGAGGGCTTTCTTGATGTTGGCAAAACAACATACTGATCTTTATGATTTATTTATCAATGTACATGTCTTGGATTTTGACTCTGAAAAGCTTGATTGCAATGAGCCTTCAAAAAGAGAACTTCGCATGGATATGGCACTAAAAGCTATACCTCCCATGCAATACAGCTCGAGATCACCGAGTCCTCTACAGGACGCAGGTGGTGCCGCCCCAACTTAGAACAAGTCCAGCATGAAACAGAGCCACCTTCCAATAAAGATAGGCGTGTGCTAGGCTGTAAATGCAGACAGCGCAAAAAACAAAGATGCTTTCCAGAAGACACCCCCGGGCAATGTAGCCAGAGAATCCTGCCCTTCACAGGGCAGTGGGGTCCTTCATCGCTAGCATATATGGCCAGCATGAGCTGGAGCCACCACCCTCTACAGGGAGGTGTACGCTTGGGAAGCGGTTGAAAGAGAGAAAGAAGATAACAAGGATTATAAATGAACCACGACAAACAATGCACGCCAATTCAGCGGAGTTTATATTTGAACAATATAGCAGTACAACACCAACTGCCGGAAAACTATGGTAGAGCCCAAAACTAGTAAGGGTGTCAACGAGCCCTGAAGTATATTTATAATATATTTTCCGCACCATCTGTGTGAGAGATTTGGTTCAGAGCTATTACTCAACAGTAGTATCGGACGTCAGGACGTTTCTTGTTCAATGCATGCTTGTCCGACTGCTTGCGGTGGAGGAGTTGGTCAGCCTGAGTTATATATAACACAGAACCTGGCAAGGAGTGTGTGAAGGTTCTTAACGAATGGGAGATCCGGATGCTTCAAGATTGGCTCTACATGACGCACTCAGAGGCCAAGGCTGACAGACCTGAATCCATGGGTGCAGATCCAGCTAGCACTGAGAATAAAGTATTTTTTGACGTGTTCACCCTATTTGCCGTTCTTATAGCGTCGCCTGACCCAAATAGAAAGGAGATGGATGGGACATAGAGGAGGATGGGCGGGACATCTTGTCGTACCCGAAAGACTCCAATCTCTGGATCCACGGGCGTATCGAAAGATTGAATGATGTCTTTGAAAAAAACCAAAACGTTGGCAAGTTCTTGGGTAACTTGCGCAGCCTTACCAGCATCATTACTGTGGATCCTAAGTGGGAAGACATCGAGGATATTACGAAGGATCTCTGGCTCGGAAAGATGAACTGGAGAGAGTTTGTGAACAGCTTGAGGAGGTTTGAATCTTTCTGAGGAACAAACTGCAACTTCGGAAGAAATGGGTAGGTATGTCTTTCTGGACGTTTACTACAACATCTCATTCTCCCATAACAGATGACCGAAACCCCTTCAATACCCTGGAGGTTCGTTCGGTCTTTGGGGGATACATGAGCCGTAGGACAAACTCAAAGGGTTAGAGCACCGAGGACGACATCCTGTGTGAAAGCTTGGATCAAATCGGCCCCCAAGAATTTTTGCCTGTACGGAAATGGGTTTCCGGTGAGATACAGCTATGTTGCGCCACAGTAGCTAAAGTGTTAAAGCTTGAAGAAAGCGGGTGTTTGGTGGCACAATTTTAGATACCAGCAAGGTGAGCGTCAGAGTAATCAGCCAAATCACTCGCACAACATTTCTTGTTCCCAGAAAAATCATCCCAGGCAGAAAAATCACCGCGGAGCAGACTAATGGGGAGGAGCGCGATGCCGGCGCTGATACATCATTGTGTTAGGAGTAGTGGATGGTGGTCAGTGGGCAGAGTTGTGCGTTGGCACTCTTTGTAGCAGCATGGATGACCTTGCTCCGTGACAGAATTGTTTACTGAAGCTTGTCGGTATTTGTATATGCCTTTGTTTGGTCACGGTCAACGAACATCACAAACACATCTCAAAGCAGCATCGAAAGTGGCTCGAAGACTCAACTTTGAACGTTCCCAAAACGTAATCTTGGCACACTTTGCTGATGAAGGGTCCTACTAATCCAGTCCGTCTTGTATTTCTGGTTGTCATCCCCTTCATACTCATGTTTGGACCTCGCAGCACACTATCTTCATGTATGAGATCCATTTGCGGATACTCATTGACATGGGTCTAAATCAGCTTGCTGTCATATGCGGCTACAATGACTGGAAAGAGTGGAAGGAGCAGAAGGAAGCATCAATTCCGGGAGATGATGAAGACATCTGCATTGCGATGAGAGCCGAAGCGAAGGCGATGCTTCAAAGGCAGGGTTCCAGCTGCCTTTCGGAATCTTGGACAGGGGCGCTGGTTTCTCGACGAACTTATTGATGTTAGATCCTTCAGGGCCCGTGAAGAGATTGTAGTGTGCACTGCATCAAAAGAGGACATAGGGAAAGCTGTTCGGGGAATGACCTCTGAATTTCCCCCGCGCAACCTGTCTGCTATATTCAGTGCAGTTTATGACGAAGAACCATGAAGTCCTTTATGTAACAGCCCCGACTTCCCAGGAGGGTTTTGTTGAAGTTCAACGTCGTCATCGCTCTTGTCGTCTTTCCTTTTTCATCGTTGGTATTTCGGACTCTGTACAGTAGCTTATAAACTTGTTCGTTTTCGTCAAACATACCTCAGCGCTTCTCTTACCACACGCTGAGGTATGTATCGTATATTGTTTGCACGCCGGTGTCTTTTCTCATTATGTCCGGTCTATAGAATTGTCTTATAGATACTATGAATCCTAGCGCTTCTCTTACCACACGCTAAGAATTGTCTTATAGTTCAACTGTCATTAGGTGACACCACCTGAAATTGTGGCAAATCCAGAGTGTAATATGATGTAAGCAGCTGTTGTAACGCTGTAAAGACCACAACAACATTCTGTTACATGTAAAACAAACTGTAAAGCATGTGACGCAGTGTTTCGACGAAGCGCTACAATAGATGCGTAAGTCATGTATGTAATGTAGCATGCATCCTTGGCTTTGCATCTAGAGTATCTCGTCCTCTCCTTGGTCCGTGTCTCCCATTGTATCGTATCGTGCCATTACCAATCTGTGCCTATGAAACACGAACACGCTCTCGTGCCGACAAGAAGATACTAGCAAAATGCCTCGTTCCAAGAAAGACTACTACTGCGACTGTGTCAACCACGAGTACCCTCTCACTCGTGTCAGCAAATCAACTTGAACATGGCTCCGTCACAGGTCGAAGCAGAATAATCCAAAGGCTCAGCTCGTTCTCTCAATGACAAAGTCTCTTCTGACGAAGGAGAAAGAGAGATAGAACAAGGAGATGCTCGTGATGACCTCGAGTCATCCCAAGCCAATGATGAGGGCATTAGTCATAGTGCCATTCCCCTGAGTTCTCTTCCCAGCCGTGTAGCCGTCATGTGCTATGATGAAGACATGAGCCACTTTGTGGGTCCCTCCCCCCGTCCATGCGTCTGGTATTCTACCTTTTTCACCCTAGACTGACCAAATATTTGTCGACAGGATGTTGCAGAGTTGACACTACCCTTACCACAACCATCGAGTCCCCGACATCTACACAGGCCGACTGTGGAAGAAATCCCTGACGAGGACGACATTATTCATCATCAAGACGAACCTCCTGCATTTCCACACGTTGATATCCCACCTCCCCTTGACGCAGATGAGGAGACCCTCGCAAACGACATCTACTTGAATGTCACGCTCAATGACTTGCGTATTTTCGGGCTTGCAAATGCTTTCCTGGATGACCCTGAATCTGGGCTTGATGCTGCAACTGTGGAACGCATTCGAAATCTGCCCCAACACCATCTTTCTCTTGATGATGACACTGATCTCAAGTCTGCTGTTAAACTCTATCTTAAATTGTCGCATGCGGGGAAGGACTACGAAGCAGCGCGCCAGAGTCTGATGGAATCCAAAGATGTCGAGGATTTCCTGACACTCTACCAAGCCAAACGAGCTGTAGAACAGCTGAGTGGCGTCTCTGGTATCATGCACGATATGTGCTTCAATTTATGTGTTGGTTTCACAGGTCAATTTGTGCACCTCGGGTCCTGTCCAATATGCCGCTCTTTGCGCTATGACCAGGTCGTTCTCGCACAAAGTAAGGGCAGGAAGAAAGTTGCACGCAAGCAGTTTGCAACTATTCCATTCAGCCCACAACTCCAGGCTATGTTTCGTAATCCCTGTCGTTTTGTTGCTCTGCTCGTTGTTTTTCATACTAGATGTGCATGTACATTATGCATTATGATCCGACCCACGCTGAATTGCACGCATAGCTTGTGTCGCTCGATTTCACTCGATTTGTGCTACAACCAAAAAAACTCGGTAAATATTGTCTAAACTAGTGTAGTCGCATAGCGTGACTAGCCTCGTTTTCTCTAGAAGCTTGAAGGCCCCAAAAAGCTGTTGATCTGCCAAGTTCTGACAATATTTTGTGACACCGATACTTACCAAGCTTTGCGTGGGTACACCCAATATCCACTTTTCACTGTGGGGCCCTATACCTTGATGCGTGGGAACGCTTTCCAACACAGTTGATTATATTGCAAATTGCCTTCAGTGTTTTCCAGTCGCGTCGCGTCTCAAGATTGATACTAATTATCGTTGAATCTGCAACAAGGTCTGTTTTATCATGGCCAGCTGTACCACTCCACTTAAGAATAGTGCTCGCATCAACCGAGAGTCTAGTTCACTTCAATTTCTAATACCCTCTACACCTGAATCATACCCTAGGTCTGCACCAGCCAATTCCTACCACTTCCCTTCCCCTTCACGTGTTGCCGCACCACAGACACCCACCCCTCTTAAAAGATCTTTTTCATCAGACGAAAATTCCATTCCTCAATTCGTTCTCCACTCATCGAGTGCGAAGAAAGCACGGACAGATGCAACCAGAGTCCCCGAAAACAATGGCGGCAAGCTCGCCTATATACTCTGTGCAATCGAGCGCGCGAACTGGACACTTTCGGAGTTTCTATACCATGCCTTTCGTCCTCCTGTAAAGGGCGATAAATCCACTTCTCGAACGACTTCGCATGCTGCTTATGTCCAGCATTTCCTTCGTGGTCGCACCAAGTATACCCCTGCCGACATCATTCACGTATGGCTTCACTCACCGGATGGCATCCTTAGCGAAAACGACCCCGAAATCAATTTTATGTTCGGGATAACTCCTCCCTACACCGATGTCAAAAGAGTCCGTCCTGCACTCTCCTCATTTGCAGCTCAGATCGTGAAGCAAAAGCTTGTCGCAGACATCAAACACGCTGTTAGGCCCAGAAATGAATGGCCTTCATTTCTCATTTGCCCCCTCGAAATTACGTCAATCCTCAGACTGGGATGACATTGGGAGCATGACTGTTACCAAAATCGAAGAGACACTTCGCAAGGAACAACCCCTTGCAATGGCGCTTCTAGAAGCCATCGCTACCGGCCCGCAACGAAAGCGCCGAGGAAAAGACACTCAGCGGGGTATTCGCCCTGTCTGACTCGTGAGATTCATTTCATTTCATCTTCGTGATGCGTACTAATTTTCACGCTGCAGGTTTGTACACATGCACTGTCTTCCCTAGCATTCTGTCATTCTACTCATGCCCAGGCCCTGCCAATGGCACGTGGAATTCGTGAATTTGCATTATCCATCCCGTACGATCTTTTCGTGTACAACAGCCGCATTGGCACCTCTCCGTCATATAGTGCCATTTATAGAGCGCTTCAGATGCTTTCTGTTCGAGAAGCTGATGAAACCCGCTTGCTCGGACAACATTTGACAAAACGAGGTGTTCTTGTGATTGATAACATTCAGAATTACCTAAGGCAGCGTGATTCTCGTATCGGTCGCTCAAACATGATGAACATTGGTCTCGCTGGTACCTACATTGAACTGGAGGATATTGATGTTCGTGCCTTTGACATGTCCGCCAAGAGTCGTATCTTTGATGAGAACAGGCAAACGACTGCTAAAGTGGAAGACTTCCTTGATGCCATTGACAAGTCTCACCTCGACACAGTGCTCACACTCCACTGGCTCCAGGTGCTCACGAAATACGTTCCAGAGCTCTCGTCATACCAGGAACACGTCGCCATACTCTTCCGCACACGAGGTGCCAAACTTCAGCTTCCCATTCAACCCAATAAAATCCACCCGCTCGCAACCAGCAGCAAGAACGAAACAGTGACGACGGAGTTAAAGGATGCCCTTGTGGACTTTTGGGGGCAAATTGGCCAGTCGGTCGAGGAGTTCCAGAAACAGCTCTTACTTGTCAGTGGTGATGGCTTGACGTACGAGAAGATTATCCAACTCAAGAAATATTTACAATACCATGGAGACAAGTTTCAGCTGTTCTAAATCCTTGAGCCAGTGCTTGCCATATGGCATACTCTATGGACCGATCTCAGCCGTCTCTTCGAGACCCATTGTGGAGACACGCTCAGCCGTGATCCATCTATCTCCATGTCATCCCTTGCCAGTCGGGCGAGAGGCTCCATGTGATGCCACTCTGTTGGTGAACACTTGAAGGCCATTGAAATGAACTCGCATGTCGACTAGCTTTGCAAGAAGTATGTCATGGTGGTGCTTCTTAAGGAATGGTAATTGTTGCAATAGGGGTTCCAAGTCATCCGCCACGAAAAGATGCTCAAGGCAATCGACCGGGAGCAGTGATATAATGTCATCTGGTAACACCATGTCAGCGGTGTAGCATTGGTACTCAGGCTCCCCCATACTGCCCCATCGGACCTTTTCTCGCCACCGAACCAATTCTGCTGTGGCCTCTGTTTTTTGTGGCAAGGGTCAGGTAACCATCCTTCTCTTCTTTCCGCTTCTTTTTGACCATGCTGCTGTCAGCAGATGCAACCGTCTCCTCACTCTCCTCTTGCTGACACCCACTGCAATTACAATCCTGGGCACGTGATGGCGGCGGGGGAGTTGTCAGGCATATAGCGCAAGTGCAGGACATGTCAAATGGTGGGTTGTCGTACAGAGCATCAATCTCGTTGACCTTGCATTGCGAGAGAATGAGCCGGGCCATTGAGATCTGCATGTTCTCTTTTGTTGTTTCAGTGTTGTCGCCTTGGCTGACTATTCGCTTTGCTTTCTGAACAGCATCCTTCGACACATAAACAATGCCTTGTGCATCTGCGAGGTTTCGTTTTCGATTGGCCCGCCCAAAGTTCTGAAGCAACTCGTCACTTGTAGCAGGTTGAGGGAAGACAACGACACATCCGATATTTGGAGGGTCGACTCCGTTGGTTAGGGCTGCAGTCGAAACAATGATGCGGGGGGTTGTGGATGAGTCGTTGCGTAAGTCATCCAATGTTTTGTTGTTATGGTTGGCGAAGTTGGCTGAGTTGTACAGACAGATGCACTCGTGCCTGCCTGGTGCCTCTGCGGCCTGTTCAAGAAGGTAGGCGTGCACACGGAATGCCATATGGACAATAGGTACGAAGATGAGAGAGTTATTGGTGCAATCGAGGATCCACCGGAGCTCTGGGAACTGAGTTCACTGACGCCCGACTTGGCTATGCGGAAGATAATGTGTAGGCTAGTACCACTGAAGACTGGACAATCGCAAAACGACACTATCATCCAACGACTTCAAATTGACACCCTTCGACGTTCAAAATGGAATTGACCAAGGTTTTCCGCTCTCCCCCTCGCTTCCACTTTCTACAATGCAAACGTTCTCTCACGAATAGCGGACCACCTCCCGAGACGTCACTCATCCCTTCTAGTCCAATTCCGAAACGGTCACGTCCCACTAAACAAGCATCTACACCGCATAGCACGAAGCCCATCCCCGCACTTCCCATCCTGCCAGGAAAGAGAAGAATCCGTTCACCATTTCCTTTTCGTATGCCCAACGCATGCAACTCACCGAAGAAAGCTAAAAGCGGAGCTGGGCACACGAGCCCAGCAACTAAAGCACTTACTCAATGACGAGAAGTGTATAGAATCTCTTTTCAAGTATATAGCCCGCACCAAACGATTCGTCAGCACTTTCGGAGATGTCACCCCCCCAGAAAAGAAGAAAGCTCGCAACGGACAAAGAACATAGACAGCTAGCAAGAACACCCCGCATACCTTCAGATGGTATCCATTATCCTCCACTCACATCCTGGACCAATATTGGAGTTATATACAACGACCCCATGGTACAAACTTACGACAGATCACAATACTGTACGTACTGTCCAACATAGGGCCCCGCCCCACCGGAAAATAAAGAGGATTCAAAAAGAAAAAGGGAGGGGGTAGGAGGTGCCGCAGTAGTGATGGAACGGGAGCGAAGGATTAGGGAGACCAGGTTCTACCTAGGAAAGGCGGAGGAGCATACGGCGTACGAGGGCAAAATAGTGGGAATGATACTCACGGTCAAGATGCTAAAAGACCAGATGAGGGAGAGAGAGGTCAATGGCACTTGGTGCAGCGATCAGAGCGACCAACGTTTTCCAATCTAAACCAGGACACTACTTGATGGACAAGTTCCACGACCACCTCCGCACCCTCTTCCAATCCGAGGACGACCGGAAACTAGTTATACGTTGGTCGGCAGGACACATCGGCATACCTGACAACGAACAAGCAGACGAACAAGATAAAAGGGCAAGAGGAGAAACGTCAGACCCTCACCTACTCCCCACCTCACTCCGCTCACCTCGTTAGGACAAGTTCAGAGAAATCGACCCATCATACACAACCAACCGCTTCGCGAAACTCGCAGACTAGTACCCAAGAAAAGTATCAAATCAGTCCTTAAATATATCGCTCGCACCAAACGCTTGACAAGCAGCTTCGGAGACATCAGCCCCCCCGAGAAGATGTCGATGCGCTCAGTGCTTAGCCATCTCTTTGTCAAAATGCTTTAAGATGGCATTATCGCATTATCGTCCTCGCTCCAGCCCGAAACAGGATTACAGTATTCCTTCACCAGAAACGATAAAATAGTGTAACATAGAGTAAACACATGTACCGTCTATCATAGAGCTCCGCGCCAACAAACAATAAAAAATGACTCAAAAAAAGATGTCGCAGCAGTAGCAAGATAAAAAAGTATTTATTCAGTCTACTACAGGTAGCACTTGCAATTCAAACTAAATAATTCAGAATCGGTACTGGCTCATGCTCTCTGACATGTCGTCAACTTGTGACCACAGTTCATCTGAGTTTACCGAGTCTATGGAAAATGAGGGTGAAGGTGGGGATACGGGGGACCCTGGAGACGATGTCCAGTAAGGGCCTCCTGGAATGGGGACTGCTCTGACTCTGCCTTCATTGTATTGGACTGTGTAGGCCTCCAACGCTTCCTGGAAAGATGGGTATCCTTTCTGGATGTTCCCACTGACAAAGTTTGTACGTTCTGCAACGTCCGTCCTGAGATGAATGTGAAATTAGATGTTATTAACGAGGGAGACAACTAAACACAGACCAGCGATAGAAAATACCAACTTCTTGACCAACAGTAATTACCCAGAAGCCCTCAGGTTTCAGCACCGCACGCGGTGCACCGATCTCCTCTGGTTTGGGAACAAGTGCTCGAGTAGCGACCCTCGCAGTTGTCGATGAATGCAGGATTGGAGACAAGGGGTATAGTGTTGGAGAATCGGATGTTCTAGTGGTCACATGTTGCACGGGGGGTGGACTAGTTGAGATTGTTAAGGTAGAGGGAGCGAGAACTGTTCCATTAGGAGTACTGCTGTCCGTGGATTGCAAGCATGAAGATTTCCTTAATGTGATGGATTCTACGGTGGTCTTGCGCCTCCAAGTGAGAGTGTCCAGTGACGAATCTATCATGAAGCTTGAGTATTTCAAGGTGGGAATGAAGAGAACATGATGGCTGCCTGATAGGGTCATACCGTTGAGCAAATTCTGCAAATCTTGAATATGATCATGCCTAGAGTTGGTGCAAGTAGATGCTGAGCTCGAATGATGCGACATGACAGATGTGATCAGGTCGAATAGACACCGTAGTAACGATAATCAGTCACGTGAATTGAAAAGCACAAAACCTTACCAACACTACACAGCAAGACAGTTGGATGCACCTGGGGTTAGCCTACAATAGTTGTAAATAGGATAATTTCAGACTCAACCGCACTGCAAAAAGGACCCGTGCGCCTCCGTACTTTTGAATCTGAAGTGCGACATTTGTTGTGACACTCAAGTTCGGTTTGTCGCGGTGTTTGTCCCACGGGCAATGTAGTTTGAACCTGAGGACATCCTCAACTTTAGCCGCCGGTTGCGATGTTATTTTTATCCCAACAGGGAGTCAGACGTTAAGTGAAATATGCAGAAGGTGATTAGCTAGCTAATACTAGCTGATATTGGTAACATATATATAATGGAATATTTGATCCTGCGGAACCAATTAGAGTCCACCAACATGCATGCTCATCGTATACAGCTTTATACACATAGCATTTGTGACCGATCTACATAATGATTACATGTATCTACCAGGACTCCAATACGGTACTCTACACGTGTATCCCATAGCCCAATAGTATCTTGGCACAAACTAGCATCTATCCCGGTAGCTCCTGTATACACAGTGTTGACGAGCCTTGATCACACAAGTATCAGTACTGAAGGTTAGAACGTCAGTCGATATAGGAAAGAGAGGCGAAGGACCCATTTCTACTCTCACCACATTATCCCCATGTACGAAATTAGCGTCAGCGTTCGCCCGACAACATGCTGACAGAGTACGTGTTCAGTTCTAGGCCCTTGTAGTTGGTTCCTCGGAGATAGATCTCACATGACTTGAATGATATGTACTGATTTTGAACTTGTCTCATTTGTGCCTGATTTTGTTCCTTGCGCTGCGCTGTCATATGAGATACGAAATACCCGATAATTCACTCATGTTGGCACAAGTTTAACCACAAACAACAGAAGGTGATATTTGTGTGAAGCTGGAAAAAATGACTTGAACGTTGAAACAGCATCAAGATTTTTTGGTAAAAAAACACAAATTGTCCTCCTCGAAGCATGCGTGACAAAGCATCATGCATGGCTGAATATATACATAATGCCTGCAAAAAAGATGCCCTTGGCAGGTGTGCACGTAGGCAATCCCGCAGACTGGAACCTTAGCAAGATAGTCGGTTTAATCATACCGGAGACAGTATCCTTGTAGGACAGCAATTCATTCAGTAGCAGGTCCACAAGAGACAGCTCATCTTCATTCTCGCATTCCTCGTTTTATCCTCACTCGCACTTGCATTCACATTCTCATAAATCCCATGGCCTCCATTAAATAAACGAAATTCCCGCGCATATAATCAGCATACTGCCATCCCGCATCCTCAGGAATTTTCACAACACGAGTCACTTTATCTCGAAAATGCAGAACTCAAGCAGGAGATGGAAGTACTACGGCAAGAAAGCCAGACTTTGAGGAATAACTGGTATGACATGGAGAGCAAGCGTGATATTGAAGTCGCAGTGCTCACCACACGACTTGAGCAGATAGAGTAAGTCCCAATTTGTTGTGCACTACTATGAGTTACTAACCGCTTCAAATATGTGAATCTCAAGGACATTGTATCAACAACTTCTTAAGCGCATGGATGTGTTAGCTACTACAACTGGGAGTCTCTCACAAGACCCCTTCCTCGGGCTTTATCGCATGGCCTGTGATGCTGATAAGAAACTACCTACATATCAACGAGAGGATTACCATGGCGCGTATTATTGGACAAAGGAGAGACGGCGGCGGGGGTACCAAAATGGCCGTGGTGTTCTTACTGTCAAGAAGTCGTCAAAGTCGGGTGCGGCACATTAATCGTCTTTTTGCTGAAGACAGCATCGTTGCTTCAGAATCAGAGCAACAAAATGCGAAATCAACTTCACGCAGCCTAGCGTACACTGCTTGATCAATGTCTAGCCCAAACGACATGGATGCATCCGTTTCACTATGCGCAATCATTCCTCCACTTCCGCCTTTGTGACGGACACTGGAAAATAGATACCTTTGCTAGTCGACACTATCTGCAGTGGATATCCGGCCCAAAGAAGATAGCCGAGTCAAGGTGAAGCGAGAAAAAGTGGACACCATGAATGTCAAGATCGAACAAGTAACTCAAGACCCCACATCTGCTGCAGTGCCTTCCACATTTAAACGGCCCCAGTCAATTGCTATATCGCCTCTAGTGCGCATCTCGAAGAAGAAGAAAGAAGTTCATTGCACCCCCTCTCCCCCAGTGTTCTCTTCTGTGCCCTCTGCTGCTCATCACCATACATGTCTGATTGCCAAAACAACTCAAATTGATGATATGCCTGAAAAACCTGCCTTTGAGCATATCTCCAACGAACCCTTCGGAGCAGCTCGTGATGACCCTGTTGCTTTTGGGCCCACTGCTCTCGAGAAGCCAATTGACCTTACTACTTCAGATGCTAATGCTCAGTTGTCTGAACCTGCCATAGTAGGTCCACCGAGGCTCGAAGTTCAGGAAAGTCTCTTGTTGTTGTACAACTCGGATCTAACATCAGTAACATTTACCGTTAGATTACGAATCCACTCGAGGGTCTGTTTCCAGACCGATCAGACAGCCATTCCGCAGATATCATCTCCATACCTGGGCCTTCCAGCATTACTATGGCGCATATAGCAAGCACCTCTGTTGGCGACATGGGTCCGAGTCCTGGCAACGCACATTCACAGCCACAAGCTCCGTCTTTTATGCAATACTTATCAAAAGTGATGCATGCCAATGCTACACTGGTTCCCGCAAACGTCGCCGTACCCACACAGAACACTGGCGTGAAGTTCGAGAATGACGATGCAGCTGCAGAGGCCAAATGCACCAAGAAGAAGGAAGTAGTACCAGTAAAGCAATCTACTCGTGCCACGGCAAAGTACGTGTGTCAGTTATTGCACTCATCGAAACCGCATCTTACAAAGGATTTTTCACAAAAGTCTCTGTCGAATAGATTGTTGCCAGTACCACACTGAAGGCTCGAACGGACAGTTCGAGACATATTGGAAGAAGCTCGATGCTTCCGTCAAACAGGTACGATCGTTTTTTAACCTATGAGTATGATCCTGTAAAATTACTCTCGCAGAGAATAAGGCAGCTAAGGAAAATAAGGCAGTCAAGGCAGAACCTCCGAGTCTAAGTCCAAAATTTGTATATGTTTGTTCACGGTGCGCTCGAAATCTCTCTTCCTGAGACTACCTAACGTTTCCTTGTTTAAATTGTCATATTGAGGTGCGCACTTTGAAGATTCTTATTGTTCTTTCTATTTAAATTAAACAAAACCATTCTAGCTCCATCTTCTTCAACACAACACCTGTCTTCAAGATTCAAGTCCCACAGATGACGCACTTGCGCTGATCCAAATCGTTGCCCGCTGTTCACAAGACACGAGTGTGTCGACCCTCCCTTCGAGTTCGAGCCATGCCGATTGGCGTCGGCACCCACCATTCGCAGTATGTGATTGTGTCGGTCCCCTTCGAGTTCGAGCCATGCTGATCGGCGTCGTCGCCCCCCGTTCGTAGTTGGTGAGTGTGTCGATCCTCGTTCGAGCAGCAGACATGCCGATCAGCGTCGTCGCCCACTGTTCGCAGGATGTGAGTGTGTCGGTCCACTGTTTGCAGGATGTGAGTGTATCGGTCTTCTTCGAGCAAGAGCCATGCTGATCCAAGTCGTTGCCCACTGTTCGTAGTTGGTGAGTGTGTCGGTCCTCATTCGAGCAAGAGCCCTGCTGATCCAAGTCGTCGCCCACCGTTCGCAGGATGTGAGTGTGTTGGTCCTCTTCGAGCAAGAGCCATGCTGATCCAAGTCGTCGCCCACCGTTCGTAGGATGTGAGTGTGCCGGTCCTCATTCGAGTTGTTCTAGCTCCCGCTATCGTCGCTTGTTTTCAGATGCGTTTTTTTAATCAATTTTGGGAGATTTTCGTAGGATGCCTTGAACTCATGTATTGTCCCCAGTGTACTTAGTCTATGTCTCGAAATAATAGTATTTTTTGATATCCTTATCTGCTTTAGTTCAAGGAAAAGTGCGTGATTTTAAGTAAAGTGCCTCAAAGCACCTCTAATTAGGGAATGGATATCTTATTTTCGAGTAACACTGTCGTGACATTTATTTTTACGGGCGATGAGTAGGCGATGAGTAGGCGATGAGCGGACAATTCATTTTGTCTGCGGACAAAACTTCAAGTTTAGTCATCACATTTTGTCGTCACCTTAAACTTCAAATTTGGAAGGGTGTCTAATTGTGGGACAAAATTTAATACATTGACAAACATGTAGTGACGGACAATTCACGCAGACGCTGAAAATCTGATTATATTTCATATTTTAATTAACGTATAATTAGTGGGAAAATGGTTGCGGACGCTTCATATTTTGGATTTCGTATAAAACACTGACAAAATTTGAAGTTATGTCGGGATATTTATGTTAGTTTAAATGATGCAAACAGCCAGTCTGGATGACGAAGACTCTGGGCTCAGCGCAGAAGCAATCACACGGCTCAAGTTCCCACTGCAACTCACACCGACAATCGCATTACAACTGCTGCTGTCAAGTTCTACCTTGTACATTCAGTTTCAGACAAAGAACACAAGAGGACACCCAAGATAATCATAGACGGACTGGTCACGAGTCTATTCATGGCTGTGCACACGACGAGTTTCCCACATTATACCAAGTCAAGCAGATTGTTGCTGAGCTCACTGGAGTCGAGTCCATCGTGCATGACATGTGTATATATTCGTGTGTTGGAATTACGGGACCATTTTCAGGACTTACACACCGTCCCGAGTGCGGGAAGTGTCGTTACGAAGAAGTAAAGTTCGTAGAAAGTGATGGCGAAATTCGGGTTCCACGCAAACGATTCTCGAGCATTCCAGTTGGACCACAACTCCAAGCCCTATATCGTGATCCAAAGAGTGCAGATGCTATGCGATATCGTGAACGTCAAACTCAAGAGATCTTCGATGAGCTTCAAGAAATGAATGGAACCAAGCCTGGCTTTCATGACATATTCGATGGCTCCGATTATTGACAGGCAGTTCACAATGGTCGAATCAAAGATGACGATATCACGCTGACGTTTTCAGTTGATGTTGCACAGCTCTACAAAAATACAGGCTCCGACTGTTGGATAGGCATCTGGGTGGTACTCGATCGATCCCCAGAGACACGCTATAAGAAGAAAAATGTCCTGCCAGCCCTTGTCATTCCAGGACCGAAAAAACCGAAAACCTTGACTCATTTCTGCTCCCTAGCTTCCATCATCTTGCTGCAATTCAGCGCGAGGGCCTAGCCATATGGAATGCTTTTCGAAATAAGCTCTAAAAATCTCCTCCGTTCCTTGTACTTGGATGAGCGGATGGACCTGGTTTGGCACATCTGAATGGTCTTTTTGGACATCATGGCAAAAACGGGTGTCGTCTCTACTGTGGCCTCAAAGGACGTCACAAGGCTGGTTGTCCACACTACTGCCCTGCGCTCCTCAAACCACCTGACTTGAACGTGTTCGGATGTGATCATTCTGACGTCTATGCTGCAAAACTTGGTTGCTGCTCACCAGAAACTTATGTAGCTAATCTTGCACATGTTCTGCAGTCTGCAAACGATGCAGAATACAAACGACGACGTCTCGAAACTGGCATTTTAAAACCAAGCATTTTCCTTGGTTTTCCTTCTCACCGAATCTTTGGTTTGCCCAAGTGCTTCAGTCCCGATATCATGCATCTTGCGTCACTTAATCTGCCCGATCTTCTCATCCCTCTTTGGCGTGGGCGCTTTGACTGTGATGTTGACGATGACGTGTCAACGTGGGACTGGGCAGTCCTCAAGGGGGACGTTTGGAAGGAGCATGGCAAGGCAGTGGCTGCTGCTACTCCTTATCTGCCCACATCATTCGACCGACCGCCTCGCAACACAGCTGAAAAGATCAACAGCGGATACAAGGCTTGGGAATTCACACTTTACCTCTTCGGCTTGCGCCCAGCACTATTCTATGGCATTCTTCCAGACAGATACTGGCGTAATTTTTGTCTCCTTGTCCGTGGTATCCCACTCGTCAGCAAGCAGCACTCTATCTCTCGAAAAGAATTGCTCACTGCACACGCTAGTTTCAACGGATTCATGAAGGGCTTCGAAGAGATCTATTATCAGCGCCGTGTCGACCGCATTCACATGGTTCGACAGAGCATTCACGCAATTGGCCATTATGGCCATGAGGTTGAAACGAAGGGAACATTAACATAGTATGTAGAATCCAAGATGACAATATTTCCTTGAATTTACACAATCTGTTTACTCCTCCCCACAGAAACACGAAGGACCCATTTGTGCATGCGAAACAATGCACTACGGCGCAAGATTGAGGCGTGTTGATAACCTGACCGAGGAGTAGTTCTTTCGGAGAAACCTTGAGTCGGCGGAGTATGCGATAGTTGAATGCGTTGATAGCTTCATCTAGGCGAAGTTCGAGTACCCGGCAGATTATCCCAACCGATCGCTTGATAGGTGATCCTCACCTAAATTTGGCGTGCATAAGCACTTCAAGGCATGTAGCAGGATTTTATTTGTTCCTTCTACAAGACTATTGATCCAAGAGGAATATGCGGACACGATGTGAGTTTTGCAAGTCCATGTAGAGCAAAATTGTCTAACTTCTGCGTTGTTGAAATGCCGATCTGGGATAGGCTGTCGATATTTGTCTTTGCTGTGCCTGCGTCTCTGTACTTGAAGGCCCACACGCGTTGGGAGAACGTGTCTAGATAGATCCCGAAGGTTTGATATACTCGCGCTTTCGGGAGTGTCAAGTAGTCCCCTACCAACAATTTAAACGGATGTCTGTGGGTTATAAGTTCGAGCAGTGAGTGCAAATGAAGGGTGCCGAAATTCTTGCACTGAGCGCACTGAGCCATAATCGACGCTTCTAATTTTGGACTGTATATGCGATCCGTGAGTGCTATCTTGATAGCGTCTCTTCCCCAATGACCTCCTTCGTTATATTGTTAACACTTTGGCTTTTTCTTGGGTTAGGCATTCCACCTTTCTGCGCGCTCGTGCTGAAGTACCCCTATACGCCGTAGTTGTTCTTCTTCGATGAGAAATCGTGATGTTCAGTTTTGCGCACGGCGTCGGTCTCGCAGCGAGCTTGCACTGTCCAGTTGTGCAATCAATTCAACTACTTCTAGAAAAACAGGTTCTCTCCAATGGCTTCATCTTTTAGCCATAGTGCTAACAGTTTTCTCTGCAGATCTGATACTCCAGCTGTCTTCTTATGTAAGCCTAATAAGCAGAATTGTTTACCGAAGCTTGTCAGTATTTGTATATGCCTTTGTTTGGTCACGGTTGATTTTTGTCGTTTTTTTTCACTTCTGGTTTTTCCGCCCATCCCAACTGCCTAGCGCGCGCCTTGCCGTGCTTCTTGTCTATTCAAGAGTCGCGCTAGGTGGGGCGGCACTCCCTCTGTCCTTAAAGCTACAGGTAGAGAATTCTCGGGCTGTAATTCCTGGGAGGGGGGCCGCTTCTGGGACCGGATTTACCTAAGGCTTGTTCTGGCGTCCTCGCAAACACCGTTGACAGCCTTGTTTTCGTCTTATTTGCAGAGCGCCCTCTGGCATACCGGCCGAGGGTACTATTATGTTTGATCATTCTCCGTCACAGGGCTTTATAGAAAGGTGTGTCTTTTCTGTCTTTTTCCGTCCTGCTAACTTATTTCATACCTTGTAGTGTAGAACCTCCGCTCTTATTCTGTCGCCCCACCTTTTCAGACAAGATGCTTCTATTTCTGCCTCGTAGACTTGCCTACTGCGTGCGCGTAGCATACGACCCCTGTAGTGGGAAGTAAATCTGGTGTATGCTGGAGTCGTGCTTGGCGGGTCTGCGCTCCGTTCTTCCCTGTACAGGGCATGATCTGGGTCGATGCTGGAGCTTATAGGCTGGATCGGACTGTACTTGTATTACAATTCATCGGAAGTCGCTCTTACTCTCTCTCACAGTGGTCCCTAAACTCGAGGTAAGGGTGTCGTTCGTTAGGGCGGGACGTCATTATTGAACTAGAGATCTCCTAGGACACCTCCAACTATGACTCCGCAAGAGCAACATTCGTGAGCTTGGACATACTTTTGTCAAAATATTTGTCTGACACGTTGCTAGGATCCAACGCTGCGATGGCGATCAAAGGTTGCAGAACAGAGGAAGGGAAGCTAGTACACAACAGACGCGATATGCAAACAATCAAGGAGTCTCTATATGAAGGGTATTGTGACGTCTCCGGACATGTCGCTGAGCTTGATCACGTTGGTAAGTAGTGAACTAGGTCCCGAGCTTCATGACACTGATTGATGTGCAGTTGTTATGGGTACAGTGAAAATCTTCATCGCTCTGAGTGAGTGTCCCTCGGTCCTGCACAGAGATTCAGATGTACCTAGTTTGAGGAGGAGAAACTACCTCCGCTGGAACAAGATCTTCTAGCCTGTAGCGGGGCACATGTTCTGTCAAAAGATACACCTCGAAACGTTGTTTGATGTCTTCCGATACAACTTCTTCTACGGATCCGAAAGCATGCCCACAGAACCGTCCGGAGTGAGAGTGATGACTGTGAGGCATAGCAATTTAATACTTAGCACTGAAAGATGCACTCTGAAAGCTGAAAGCAAGATATTCACGGTGCATGAATCGTGCGTCTTACATAATACGTGTTCAAAAGGCAATGCAGAACCCATAGCGGGAGGTGTCATGAATCACCACGACCCCGCATGAGTATGACACAATTGATTTGATAGTTCGCCTGCATGCTACAACAGATGTTGGATGATGCGTCTAATCTGCATGTTTGACAGCTCAGAAATGGGGCGTCTAATGAATAATCTACGCAACATACGTGCCACACTTCCCTCCCGCGACGTAGCTTGCCGTCCAAGGGGGAAAGGCGAATTGTACCATGATCCTTCTCTGAAACATGGCGTCAGCATTGTGAAGTTGAGATGTGTGTCAAAACAGACCTGCTGACGATGTTGAGCTCCTTGAGACCGCCATGAGTGGAGGAGGTGCAGATATCATGCAACCGAGATTGAACCTTCAATGAATAGGACACCTAAAATAATATCAGATAGTCTGGGATAACAGTAGACGCACTGTCACGCACCTTCGCCTGTAACTCTAGCAAGACTATACTGGACTTGTGACGGTTTCTGGTAATCGCTACTATGTGTGAGAACATGTTTTAGTCCATCGTGAATAATCGGTCTGACTGAGAAAGAATTTCAGACATGGTAAATTTTGTAGCCCAGGAGTAATTGAACATACTAAGAACCCTTTGTATTCGAAGGTTGTTCCATACTGCCCCACCCACTGCTCGTGAAGGACCGAATTCTCCTGCGGGTTTTCAATGAGGACGGCACCATGGTGAGTTCGATGGATCACTATACCGCGTTGAAAACGTCCTTCAAGTTCCCATATAGCCAGCTTGTTCCTTTTGGGCCTGATAGCGTGCGCAGTGGGGACCTAAGATTGTGCCAAACTCACTCTCCTAACTTCTGACGTCCGAATGCGACGAGTACAGAGCTTGTTGAAAGAACAAGTTTCCAAAGGATATGGGTGACCATGGTGAGGTAGATGAAGTTTCTGTTCACAAACGTGAAATCTGCTTATAATACGATAACGATGGCTTCGTGCCACCAGAGTTAATCAAATGACCATCGGGTGTATGGGCGACTCGGATGTGCATGTGTACTGACGTGCGTGTCTCGCTGAAGGCACTGAATACATGCAGTACGCGGGTACTATTTGCCATGCTCAATCCGCAGCAAGTTGCTGTAGGAGTCAAATGTCGTTGTCAATGTCGACTTGACCTTACGACCATCCTCTCGTAAATTACTTTCACGGACCTTAAACATGTCCTGATTTGGCTGCTACCGTGTTGGTCAAAAAACTACTCAAAAGTTGCCCGAGCAAAATAGACATCTAGTAGACTACATGTATCATGAACAAAAGGTTTGGGAGGACATTTAACAATCAACATGAAAATGTTTAGGAACATTACTACTACATGGGAGGGTTTTGGCAGCTTGGGAGGACGCTCTGCGATAAGGTGTAGGATGTGTCCCATGCGAAGGTTTAACCGACACGGTAGCAGCCAAATCAAGAAAGGTTTAGGGTCCGTGTAAGTAATTTACAAGAGGACGGCCGTAAGGTCAAGTTGACATTGACAACGACATTTTAGAATTGACCAGGCCACGGGTGAAGTGAACAATGAGCACTCTGCCCCAGGGTCCTCTGAGCGGTGATATAAGTACAACATTTACATTTAATTTATATTTTTACATAATCCATGTTGCATGCCGCGCGTGCCAGAGCAAACTTTACACCGTACTGAACTTCATCTCTTACAACTTTTATCATGTTCTCGAGTTTCCCGGCTCTCAACAATTAATGTCGAACAGTTTATCAGCTCCTCTCGCGGCAGACAGAGTGTGTAGAACGGACCTAGTGGTGATGCAAAAGCTCGACCTCGACCTAAGCAAAGGATTCTTTCATTGGCACCAAGCCAGAAAATGAATGTTGAGATATCTTTCCAGCTGGTGCGCATGATACATAGTTGCCATCTCTGCTAAATTTGAACGTCCAAAAAGGTCCACATGTATCTCTGCTCAGTCGTGGGAGAAGTCAACCTTGCCTCGATTTCTTGCTTGTCACCGTTATCGCCTAAGTGACCTCTTGAGAAATGCTCCGCTCGGGGGTACTTGAACCAAGCTTATCTTGTCGCCTAGTTATTTCTAGGTTTTAACCTTCTGCTTTCTGTCATTCCCCTCTGCACGCAAAAATGAGTGTAAAGCCACCTTCCCTCTTCTGGGCATTGCTAGCACTTGGCCAGTTCCTACACATCTCCCGACAGGTGGTTTCCGTGTCAATCACAACACCTCTACCTGATCTAGACAAGGTATCTGAAATTGAGCTTCAGGCGGGGCTTACCTCGGGGCAGTTCACGAGTGTCGACCTGATCAAGGTCTGTAAGCATGATAGCAGTCTTGCATATCATAAATCGCCTGCATGATACTAATGGAATTACGGATATGGTTTTACATTTTGATTTAACAGGCGTATTTCTCCCGCATCGAAGAGGCCATTCTACAGGTGCCGATGCTCCGCGCTGTGACAAATCTGTCTGCGCTCCAGGAGGCTGCTATTCTGGATTATGAGCAGCTCACCTACGTGCCACGCAGTGCGCTCCATGGGATCCCTGTTCTTGTGAAGGATAATGTTGCGACTGTGGCATTTGAAGGTGTGTTTTGATAGTGTAGAGTGGAAAGCCGAAGGTTATAGCAATGCATGAAGGAATGAACACGACTGCGATTCATATAGCTTGTTGATCTCCGTGTTTCCGAATGATGCAGGTGTGGCGAAGCGATTACGCGAGGCGGGAGCTATTATCCTTGGTATGTTTCCTGAAGGCGCAGCATAATATCAGAATTCAACACGGTATGCCACCGTAGGTAAGAAAAATCTGTCCGAGTGTGCACACTTCCGTGGAAACATAGATTCTGGATGGTCAGGACGTGTACTTTGACATTACGAGACATCTGTGTCTTGTCGAGTGACCTTAGCATCTCTCCCTCCAGGCAGAGCGTGCAATTTGTCCATTTGGTAATAGAAGTTTTTTTGATGCGAGGGAGCGTGTGATTGCGTCGAAGGAAATCAGACAAAGACTACGCTTCTTCTCCGTCGGAGAGTTTTGCATATCTGTCTCGCTTGCGAATAATGGAGGGTCTCAAACTATCGCTCCCAAGTACCAAAGAGAATGAATGCGTCAGCAATTTCTTCTGCTGTCTCACAATTTGAAACCCGCGCACGATCTTGCAGTAGTTAAGCCAATAGGGCTCAGGAAGAATGTTGTAGAGCAGTGCAGCACCAAGGCCAAAGGTATATAGGTGAAAAAGGAAAGGGAGTGGATGGGTGGGAAAAAAGAAAATCTGAAAGGCAGCAGGGTGCAGAAAGGGTGCTGGAGCTCGCTGGAGTGTAGCCTGGGCTACGTCTATGTGTGGTAGGCGGAGAAGAGAAGCCACGTGCTGCACAGCCGCTATACGAAGTCCTTATTCTAATCTTACACTGATACCTCGCTTCGGGTTAAAATTCCCAAACGCAACAAATAGAGCGCTACTAGGGGATATTAATTAGTATAACAAGATACTGATTGCACTCAGGCTTACAACGTGGCACCACTTGCAACCCCCTCTCCACTGTGGAAGAATCCGCATTGCCTTTATTAGACAACCTGGAAATATCAAGCTGTCCTTCCTGGTGTCCGATTTGCAGTCAAACCAGCGGTTGTATAAAAATAGGCCATACACTGAATAAAATAGAATGAGCTGCAATACTCAAAACAAATTACCTTGCGGAGCAAGGTCTATAGGAGTCGAGCGAAATGTGTAATGGCAAGCGAGACCAAACAACAACGTCATTTTTTCCATTCACCCTCAACCGTAGAGATACATCGCTTCCCTGAAATATCAATACAGAGGCAGACTATAGAAACCAGATAAACGAGATAGGGAGACTACACACTATTTAACCGAAATATAAATACAAGGCCTCAGAAACCAGAAAGACGGGATAACGAGACTACATCACAATAACTGCTGAGCCATCAAGTCTATCCAACGTCATAATATCACTTACCTTTTGTCAGATCTTGGATGACGATTCTTCCGCATTGTGACGCGTTTTTTTAACCTCTGGTTCATCATCGCGTGTAGTCTTGGGATGCAGCGCAGGCCTAAAGCTGTCGTCTCCCTACTCTAGTCTGCCTCTGTATTGATATTTCAGGAGAGCGATGTATCTCTATGGTTGTCTATACTGTGTTCTGCGCAAAAATTGGTAATAGCATTTTGGTAGCTACACATGACCCTCGTAAAAAAAAAAAGGGAAGCTCCGCAAGGTCTGTGTCGGCAGCGCCGACCCCCAGTAACAATAGGACGTTAAAAATTCCTGCTGCACAACAGCAAATTGATCCATTACATTCCGCAAATTCATGAATGCAATGCATGCTTTTGGCGAATTCGGAGGGAATTCAATGGAGTTTGATTGAAAAGTGAATGAAGAAGTTTTCGTCTAGTTTGTGCAGAGCATGATGATTGACGGATCAGAAATTTGTGCAACCCTTCGACAACGCAGCGTCATAAAAGCTGTGAAGGTTGGCAGATCTACTTGCGATTGACATGCGCAATGATAAGTTTAGGTGAGTGCCCAATGTGTGAGGCTATGTGAGGTACTGCCCTTGCATAGTGCGCCCTGGCCATGGCTTTGCCCTCGTATCTCACAAAATACCTGATACTCTTGTTCAAACGCCTTCGGCTTCAATTTAGTTAGCTTCTCAATATGGGTGCCTTAGGGCTACTGCTAAAACATATACCTCCACAGCTCTATTTTTTTGTATGCATATTTTCGTCGTCAGCCTGCCATTTATCTTTATCTTGCATTATTTCTCATGTGGCATTCCTACCCTGGCGTTCAGAGATATTATCGCAGTACACAAGCTATATATAGCTTAGATGTCCGCATACGTGTTGTCGTCTAGAAAATCGGATACTTCCTGAGTTTGGTATATACTGCGAATTGAGAATATAGCGTATGAGCTCCAGCGATGGTGTCTTTCTCATTGACGGCGACCTAATTTGTCTCTGAATTTCGACTGTGTACAAAACTTAGCCTGGAATTGTCAGTTCTGTTTTACATGTTAATAAAAAAGGGAATGTGCAATTTGAGATGGAGGAGACATACCTCATTTGTCGATGTCCATCGCAAGTGAATGTTCCGAGCTCAAGTCTAGCATCTGCGCATCTTCCAGCGGCTGAAATGCGGTGTTCTGGTATCCCCCCCCTCTTTGTCTCCATCCTTCTTCCCTTTGCTTGTTCCTTCTGGTTCACGTGGCTTGAGTTTGATGAAGAACTGTTGAAGTTCTTTTGAGGGGGGGAAATGGTGCCAGAATATTTGAGGCGCGGCGAGTGCGTTCACCCTCTTAAAGTACTCGTTGTCCTCATCGTTCCTTGCCCACGCAGACTTCCAGTGGCACGAAGTACACCGAACCCGGATTTTCTCCTTCTGATTGTAGACCTGTATTCCTTTTAGCCCTGAATCGCATCCGCTTGTTCCGCACATCTTGAACTCGTAGCCGAAGGCACGCAATGCAGGGGCATCCTTCCCAATCTGACGGCATTCCATTTGGCGGGGGACACTAGCAGTCGTCGCGTACAACAACACAACAGTTGTGTAATCTAAGACTTGAACACACAAAAAGAATGTCAGCTCCACGGACATTTGATGCCTGTGACTTGTAGTGATTGATTAATTCAACCTTGGTGGTCGTTACCAGGTAGCCTTCCTCCAACGACTCCGCATTAAGGTTCACGAGGCACATCGGCCATTCCATCTTCACTTTTTTTCGCCTCCCAAAGCCAGAATACACGTACGGCAAAGGAGAATCCTTCTTGTTTCCGGTCCTTGCACAAATAGGGCACAGGAACTCCTCCCTGCTGCACACTACAGATCCATGAACAATGCAACCGCTGCTTCGAGGAACGAACTGTTCGCAAATGAGAGCGTAGCAGTTGATGCACTGATGTTGGAATCCAGGTTGGATCGCGTCGCAGCACATGTGGCAGTATATTCCCAGCATGTTGGATGAGACGGCGGATAGGCATTGAAGTAACTCCCCGTGGTTTCTGGAGAGGTTGGACGCATCCTGTGGCACCATGCTCCCGATATCTGCCTCCCCTGGGCCAGCACGTGAGATACCACTCAGGATCGCACCAGCTTTCGCTCCTCTGTGCTTTTTGGGAGGCATTTCAGGGATGGATAAAAAGGGAGGAAGGAAAGCGGATTTCGACAGCAACGTGTCACACGCCAACCTCACATTTCCCAATAGGTAACTTATCCTCAATTATTAATATAGTACGTGTTATCAGAATAGTTGTCTCTTCCAAAATCCAATACCGGGGTTAAATCCACGGTAAATTTGCAAGTCAGCTAAATAGTACCAATTTACTTGTACGTTAATCAGGGTAAATATGGTTCTACGGCCATACCTCCAACTGGCAGGATTTTGCATCGGGAGGTGCCTCTAACAACAAAGACGAAACAAGAGACAACCGAGCTACGTGGCAATATGCTGCTCGATATGCTAGAAAAAACCGTTTTAGATTGAAGGTGGGTTGCGAAGGCGTCCAATAGTCTCACTATCAAGTCCCGAGGCATGATCTTCTAACGAGGAAGCTTGGAGTCCTGCAATGAAGGCGAGAGAATGCCTGAGGTTGTCCAGCAAAAAACTCACACGTACATTCACTTTGCGAAGTCTATCAGTAAACCCATGTGTGTGGTGAACGAACAAACTCATTGAACTCACCTTGGAGCAGTCCCGATCCTCGTTCAAGTCCAGAGAAAAGTTGTACCTTCAGCCTCAAATTTGGCAGTACAAGTCTACGGAAGTGAGTTTCCAAGAAAGAGAGAGTTCTAAAGGAATGTGATGTTGCAGTGAGAGGGATGCGCTGGAGGTTATAAGTCTTTGAGGTTCACATTGGCGAGACCATTCGTGCGGAGAAAAAACAGACTTGATTCAAACTAACTGGCGAACGAATGTACTACGGGTGTACAAGGCCGTTTCGGGGAGGAAAAGACGACATGGATTTTGGGCTAGGGCACGCAGCGCCCACCGGCCTCGAAGGGTCTTTAGCCTAAGGGAAAGGGTTAAGCTGCGAGGGAAGTTGTGCCGCCTCGCTGTGATTTGACTAAGCGAGGTGTTCGTTTGTGCTTCTGCGCAACGAAATCAGGGAGGAGGATGGGGAAAAGAACAGCTAAGTCGACGAAGTGCGCGATGAGGATGGTCAACGGGTGCGAGAGGAGGCAGTGGAGGTCCAGGAGGATGCAACAGAGGTCCAAGAGGTCACGATGGAGGTCTGTGAAATTGTGACGAAGGTCCGAGAGGATGTGACAGATATGTGAGTGGGGTGTGAGAGGATGTGATGGAGGTGTGAGATGGTGCAAAAGGTGCAAGAGGGGTGCAAGAGGATGTGATGGAGGTGCGAGAGGATCAAACATCTATGAGTGTTGTGTGGCATTTAGAGGATATGAAACGTACGTGTATGAGTTGGGAGGCAAGCTAACCCCAATGGCAAAACCGGCACTGACGAGTGACATCACGATACCAGCTAGTGTACTAAGAACTTGAGAGTGATGTGGTCACGTTACACGTACTCAGAGCAGAACTAGCGAAACGAACCTGCAAAACTACCGAGCTGACCCGAGAAAAGCAATGTGTTGAATAATGCTCATGTTAGTGAAGGCGGTATGCACCAAGAAATCGAATGAGTTTTTGCCTATAGTTGTAATGTGAAACAACATCAACAGTGTTGGCGCAAGACATGGCAAGTCTTGCCATACCTCGTTCAGGCTGTCGTTAATCATTCATTCTTCAGGTACCGTTCTGTACCTATATTTGGTGGAATAGCCGCAGCCAAATGATACCAAACACCACAGCGGGCGAAAAAACAAGTGATTAAGCTTTGAGCCCTCGCTCGGGAAACACCCTCAACAGGTTGGTTCGCAGGCTATAACGCGCACTGAACTTCTCGGACAAAAAAACAAGCAGCCAACACTCTGACGCCAAATACAACACCCAAGAACAAGAACGATCGGGCACTTTCTGTAATGTCCACTAGTAAACCAACTCTTCCGGTACCTCCAGTGCGACTCCGGAAGCCTATGGCGTCATTTTCCATTCCAATAATCCGTGCAGAGCTAGTCATGGATGAGTCCCTGACAAACCTTGGAACTCAGATCACCTACTGCGCTCCGGAAGAAGTTGTTGCCTTTGATTTCGATACACGGAGGAAGCACACGACCTGCCGCGTGCCAGTGATGGAGGGTGGGAGGCTTAGAGGGTATGTACCTCTGCCCATGAGGTACCGGGACATTTGGCTCGAGCTTTCGTATAATATCGTGCTGTTGATGAATATCTGGGAACTTTGGTCGAAGGAAGAGGGAAAGGCTTTGAGTCGGAAGGAGAAAAAGAGGGCCACTGCTTGCCGGCAGAACGTTGGGACATTGCTCGTTCAATACATGCTTTCCAGGCTTCTTGCGGTTGAGGAGTTGGTCAGCTTGAGTCATAACACCGAACCTGGCGAGGAGCGCGTAAAGATTCTCAACGAATGGAAGGTCCGGATGCTTCGAGATTGGTCCGATATGACGTACTCAGAGGCCATGTCTGATGGACCTGAATTCATGCGTGCAGATCCAGCAAGCGTTGAAAATAAAGCATTTTTCGGTGTGTCCATCCCATCGGCCGTTCGTCTAACATCGCCTGATCTGAATAGAAAGGGAATGGGAGATAGAGGAGGATGGAATTGGCATCTTATCGCCCCCGGCAGACCCCAATCTCTGGATTCATGGGCGTATCGAAGGTCTGGACGATGTCTTTGAAAGAACTATTAAACCTCAGGCATTAGAAGAGTTAAAAAAGCCCAGCAAATTCTTCAAGACTCGGTACGAGAGAGGGACGAAGTTACCAGAGCGATGGCACGAGGGAAATGAGCCCCGTCCATTCTTCTGGAGCATTAAACAGTGGGATTGGTTCTGTGAAGGTGACATCAATCCGGACGGTCGTTTTCAGTTACAAACAACTTTTTCAATTACTACAGGGAATGACTATTGGGACGCGCCGATCGACCTTTTGCATTACGTTCTTATCACAGAGCCAGCGTACCACGAAGTCGACCAGTTCTTGGGTGACTTGCGCAGCCTCAGCAAAATCATTTCTGAGAATCCTGACTTGAAGAAGATCGATAAGGCTGCAAGAGATCTCTGGCTCGGAAAGATGATCTGGAGAGAGTTTGTAGAGATCTTGGGAGAAAGTTTGAGTCTATCTGCGAAACAGATGGTAACTTCGGAAAAAAAGGGTATGTTTTTCACAACATTTACTCCGATGCCTCACAATAATCTCACACCAGATGATCAAAATCCTTTCAACACCTTGGAGTTCCGTTTGATTTTTGAAGGTTATGTGCAACGAGAGAAGACGAACTCGGAGAGTCAGCGAGCTGACGACAGTATCTTGTGGCAAATCCTGAATCGAATCAGCACACAAGAGCATCGACCGGTATGGGAATGGGTCGTAAGCGGGATACACTTGCGTGGCGACATGGTAAAGTGCATGTTGAATCAAGCGGGGGATTGGTGGCGAGAATTCAGAAACAAGCAAGGTGAGGGCGTTAAGATGATCGTTGAACGCCTTCACTCATTTCCTATTCCCAGTGAAATCTTCCCAGGTGAAAACGCATACTACCACAGAGCATGATAATGGCGATGGTAATGTTGCTGGTGCTGACCGATCGTACAATAACGCAGCACAATCTTGTGAGTAGATGCCTTGCCCTCGCCCGGACATGTTTGGAAACAGAATGTCTGAAGCTTTCGTTACAGCTAACTCCACGGACTCAACACGCTCACCTGTGCCCCTCCATCCTCCCATCACAAACCGTGTTCCCTATCCAAATGCCCTTGGTAGTTCGACCGAATCCAACTCATGTGCTCTTCAGCACAGCCCTCCCCCCTCCTTTCGCACTCACGAGTCAACACTAGGGAGATGTCAACGGCAGGCGCTGCCGATTCTCTCTCGCATCCATTTTGCATTATCGAGGTATCTTGAAGGGTCTTACTCATTAAAAACCTACGAAGAATGCCTGTTAGAATCTTTCTCCTCAGAATTTGAGTCCAGCATTAGGCAGTATGTGAAAGAGCTCCAGCCTTTCACTGCGGAACAACTTGCAACAGATGAGGGAACGCTGATATCTGATTCCTTCATCAGTCGTGTTAACGCAATACAGGCAAATATAGAAGCCAGAGAGTCGCAGAACCAACTCCTTTGATGCTGCACTGCATGAGGTTATTTCTGACTGCTTGTATCGTAGACTTGCACAGGATTTCAAACCATATACACAAAGAAGTTGCGGTGGGATAACTTGATGGTCTGTGCTACTTTATCATTTTATATCATTTTGTATACATTGCGTCGTATACATATACACCGTTGCATTGCACAGCCACATCCCAGGATCCCACACATCGTCGCATCGATGCATCGCGATCGCATCAATACAGTACACTATGGTAACGTCGTGTCAACTTAGTAGTAGTAAATAGTATACCACTCATCCAAACTCTACTCGAAAAGTTCCCTTGAAGCAACTACGAGTCGATCCTCCAAGATTTCCATGTGGACACACTGGCGCGCATCAAAATCTGCTACCTGTCTCCCTTACTGGTTTCTGTAAGCATGTTTCCATCTTGTGTTTGTTGCCTCGGTGAGGCGTATTGACGATCCTGCGTTTAGACTTGATATTTCCTTCTTACAGTTATCGCCTTCGACACCTCTTGCTTCTTACTTCTTAACCACTCGAACCATCCGCTCGTCCTTTCACAGGTACAATTAGCTAATGCTCTGGTCTCTCGTATTTCCTTTGGATCATCTCAGCTATGCACCTCAGTATTGTTCTCGAACTTAACGAGGTGCGCAATGTCACTCACTTGCAATCTACCTATACTAATGTAAACTAGTGTGCTTCCGCTAGTCTTTCTAGGGTCTATTTTACATGTTAGATGTATGCAAGTTCCAGTTCCAAGCAACTCGATGACGCTCCCCGATACATATGTGTCTGCCGCAAGTACAATCAAGGCCAGTCTCACATGTTCTCGGGCACGACATGGCGCAGGCACTTAGAAGAAGCCAACACCGAAGATGAAAGAAATGCTAGCTCCGAGCCTCGGTCCGTTCCTGCACCAAAGCCTCTCAGAATCACGCTTCCAAATCCTCTGTAAGTTGTTGATTTTTATCTGGACCATTACTAACACGGTATTATAGTTCTGTATTAGCACTCGCTGCTGCAAAAGTCGATACAACACAATCTCCCCCAGCTGAATTAGATCCGAGCCCCTCCCCTCGAGTCCCATGGTCCCGAAGACCCTCCTCTAGAAGATCGCACTAGCTCGAATGCGAAGAAAGAGAAACCAAGTAAGGCCAGCGGCAAGGGAAAAATGTGTCCGAGCCCAAGGCAGAATGGACGGTACATGAATTCATTTCAACTTAATCTTCTTTGTCTGACTACTTTATACAACCAGGAATTTATGCGCCCACCGCTGGCTCAAGCAAATTAAGACAAACGGAACTACGGACAAGTTCTGTGTTTACTACGGCAGCCTCAACGAAGAGCAGAGGAAGGTATGTGACTTCGCTCCCTTTGTACAGATATCCACTCATTTTAATCTAGGAGTATGACAATGAAGCGAACACACTTGTGAGTAATATTGTTGCCGTCACCATCTATTTTGATTGATTGTTTTTAGGCTACCGAAAACAAATGGAACAAGACTGTTAATACAGGCAAGATGTACTAGTAGATCCCCACTCCTTCGCACTTTACACATTCGATGCCGTTCCCCATCCTACCTGCCGTCTGCCGGACACTTTGAACACTGTTTCGATCCCCACCTCGTATTCGATGCTGCGTTCAACACGTTCTCCCAGTTCTATTTCGTAGTTTTGTTGCTTTCTGTAGTGTTTTAGAGCTGTGCTAGTGCTACAGGCCTGTCTTATATCCATCTCAGCACAATCAAACAATATCCGAGCATAATCATATCACACCCTATATGAGCACATTCACCCAGGGAATCAAAAGCGCGCACTAATATGCGCCAGTGTGATTTTCATGTGGTCTTGCGAAGAAAAACATAAGGCAGCATCAGAGGCTTTGCCCCGTCTTATTGTAAATGTGCTAATCTATACATTTTCCCTCAGCCACTACGATAAGCATATTCTGGCACACCCTGGCTGTTTCGAGCACAACCAATTCTTACTGGGATTGATCCTCGTGCTCTATCTGTAGTCATCAGCGGAAAGAATCTTCAAGTCCCCTCTCAGCGCATACCCAGTGCTAGCATCTACATATCCATCAATGTCGACCCCCGGAGACGCTGGAAATCAGCCATGAGTGTCTTACCATCTGATCAATCTGTAACGTGTGGAGCTACTGTGACTCTGTAAAGTCCATGGAGACTTTCTGGCGTGTATAGCGATACAAGTCCCCGCTTCAACAAACTCAACACACTCGATTCCCTAATACTGTAACACTCTTTTGTCAAATTTTTAGTCTGTTGCTGAGGAATAGAATCGCTTTCGAAGTGCTGATGCAGAATATTCTAACCCAACAGCCCGATTCATCAAGCGTTTGTTTAGCTCTGTCAGATGGCCCCTCCTGATACCGGAGTCTGCATACTAATACAAGGATCGGTGAGATATTCAAAATGCCAGATGACCAAACATGGTCCATATCATGCATAGTTAATTGTTTTGCGCACACTGCAGGCATGTGTCATTTTGTATACTATTCCATCGTAACGGCCTTAGTCCCCGGCCCCTTGTTAGTTTGGCATATGATTTCACGTAGACTAATTGACCTTCACGGGCAACTGATCGACCTAGCTAATACATAGAGCTGAAATATTCGCTAAACGCTTCGTATTTCCTGCTGATCAAGACGTTCACAAAAGCTGTCATTGGACGTTCAATTCTATTGGCGCCGTGTCTCATAGCTAATTCTACGGTCCTCTCTATCAGTCGTGGTGCAAAGTCATGAAACACCGCCTTCGCTATGATCTGTTGTCTTACATTGGCCGTCAACATCTAGTTGAAAGAAAATATCTTCTAACTCAAATTATTTCCGCCAATTGCTACAGGTTGCTAATGTGGAGGAAAGGGGTGAGCACAAAGGAGAAAGAATCGAAAAATTTATCACAAAGGAAGGTACACGATACATGTGCTATGACCTACACAAAAAGATAAATGGGTTGATACGCTGCCTGATACAGTACACAGGGCCCTTGCATATGTTCAACGTAAGTCAGATTCATCTCCCGGGGGAGGAGCATGCTATGACACGGATGCACCAAGGTCGACCACCGACGATTCGAGAAGCAAGCCCTCCAATATCCTTCTGGTCATTCATCAACGTCCATGGCGGGGGAATGATGAGATCCTGTCAGGTCCAGCATCTCCGCATCCTGTTGACGGTTCTTAAACTTTTGAAGAGTCTTTTTTCTTTTCGACTCGCCTCCCCTCTTCCTGGATATTTGAGCTGATTGAGCGGCTATGGCGTTCTGGCGCTCCGTAAGATCCACGAAGAAGTTTTGCAGGTCAGCAGAAGGGGGGAAATGGTGCCAAAATAATTGAGGCGCGGCGAGTGCGTTAACTCTCTTGAAGTGCTTATTGTCCTTGTCGGTCCTTGCCCATGCTGACCTCCAACCGCACTTCAAGCATCGAACCCTGACCCTCTCCTTTTGATTGAAAACGCGGAGATCTGCCGGAACTGGATTGCACCCAGGTTTGCCACAAGACCTAAATTCATATCCAAAGGCACGCAGACCAGGAGCGTCCTTCGCAATCTGGCGACATTCGATTTGTCGGCAACCATTGACCGCGGTCGCGTACACCACAACCGCGGTTGTGTAGTCCAAGACGTCGTGGTTTGAGGTGAGCATGTGACAGATTGCTGACCAGGGATCTGTTCGTCCAAACACCCCAGTGTCTACAACAAAAGAGCGCACTGTATGCGAAACCATTGAGGGTAGCGTTCCAGATCCCCCAAACCCAACGATAACTTCGAACTGGTTACTGAAGCACAATGAATGGGGACGTGTATGCGAAACAAGAAACGCACCTTTTGACTAACTTTAATACAGATTCAAAATGGTGGGAGACCCTCATCGCAGGCCCGCAGCTGACAAGTAATAGCCCCCTCCATCCCCCTCTTGCCCTGGAAGTGAGGTCGCACCACGGCTTCGTCGACTTTGCTGTGGTAAAGGTAGAGTTGTCAGTCCTTGCAGCATCCGAAGCTTCTCCCATGCATTTCAAGAACTCTGTGCCAAGGTAGGCCTCGATAATCTCGGTGATGGTCGTGTTGGTGCCTCCGGTATGTCCTCCAGTATGCTGCAACATTCCTGTGAACTCGTCTGAATGTGTGTCGACAACGATGAATGTATTAGGTGGAAAACCGCGACCGACGTTACTGCGCATGAATTTCAAACCGTCTGAAAGCTTCCTAGATTCAGATAAGTGTGCTGCACCGCGCATGCGTAAGGTTTGTATGAACAACTGTTCACATTGATATATTCATCACGGCAAAGAATACGAGTTAGTTCCACGTACGTTGTGAGGATGCATGCGATAGTGATTCTCCAACTCGATCTTGACCGTTGTTGCAAGGTAATCATCCTTCATGGATTCCAGGTTGAGGTTGACAACGGCCATGGGCCAGGCCATCTTCACCTTCTTTCTTTGCCCAAAGCCAATGTAGGCGTACGGCAAGGGTTGGTCTTTCTTGTCTGATGTTCTAAAGCACACTGTGCACAAGAAATCGTCTTTGTTCTCCACCGATCCCAGATATATACAACCCTTGCTCTTCTGAACCGTCTGCTCACACATGAGGGCACCACACTCAATGCACTGATATCGGTATCCTGGCTGTGTTGCCTCACAGCAGAAGTGGCAATACATGCCCACTATATCTGATGAAGCAGTGAATGAGGGGGTGGGCTCAGCGTCAACCCTCTCTTGACCCGACTGTCTGTCTTTTTGAAAGAGGATAGGCTCGAAAGTCACTGAAGGAGTCACCTGCGGCACCATGCTTCCAATGTCCACCTTCCCTGGTCCTGCTCGTGATATCCCGCTCAGAATCGCTCCCGCTTTGGCTTTTCTTGTTGTCTTTGGAGGCATGTCACGGAAAAATAGGGGATGGAGGTGAGGTGGTACGTTGATTATAAGACGTTATATACTTGACGCAGCGTCCAGCAGTTTGAGAGCGTTCCACTAGTGAAGATGGGCGATCCAAACATAGGTGCACCTCAATTAGGACCTGACGGAGTTTGAAAAGCGGCTCGCACGATCTATAAGGGTTGTCGGTCTATCCCGAAGCGAGGCACGAGTGTAAGGTTACTACTATCCTGTAATGTGTAACACCACATCACTTTTTCTTTCGAAAATTTTATCTATCATAGATTTATATGTCTTCTACATGGATCTGATTTTTACTGATTTTTAGAATCATGTAGTGCGATGTCGGAGCAAGTCCGAGAAAACTCAGGGTCACCCTTCAATCTGCACAATTTTGGTCATGGCCTGTCATGCCTCGGCATAGTAGCGGCACAATCAACTTTCACTCTCAGAAGTCTTCAAGTATGGGTTGGATTGCATTGAAAGGCTCGAAAACACAATATTATTGACTCAGAGTATCTAATACTAACAGTAATGATTACTCTGAATGTAGTATTGGCTCCTGCATTCACATCCTCAGTCCACACTGTGCTGCCAACTTGAAAATTTGTATTGCCGTGACTTGCTGGTGCAAAATAAGGGTGCCAAGTATGTGGAGACTCGAAAGTGAGGCTGAGGTGCAGGATGCTTGAATGTGTTGCTTTCCTGTGGTGTTGTGCCATTGGAAACATAATGTGGAGACTCAAGCAGAAGGTAGATGCTGTGTGTGCTGAGGAGGAGATTGAATTATTTGTGCACCCCCCCTGTCTGGTGTCACGTTTTCAGTTGTAGTTGATTACACCACTGTAGCACCTCAGTGCAGGAGAGTAACTATTAGTGATACTCAAAACAGGTTTTGAAAACTCGCTTAACACACTTAACACACTTTGAACTCTCGGTTAAAGTTGGTTTCAACTCGCTCAAAACATGCTCGGTGCACATCGGCACGAAGTCGGAGATTCGAACACTTGTGATTTTTCAAAGTATATGTTCATAGGGGGAAGTCGTACATCAAGTAAAAAAAAGCAACCCATAGTAGATATACATCTTATTTTGAATGTTAACATTCATAAAAAAAGGGAGTCCACATGAGAATGAAATCAGCTATAGGTAGTAAATGCCAGAGGGACTAAATAAGTGCCGAGGGGAGGAGGACACATGGAAAAGATCTGCATGAATCTGCAGAGATGTAAGGTAAAGTGAAAGACAACATTATAGTTGTGGAGAGTACAGCTACCTTCGAGCTGCTTTCCAGGATGCTGCCGCGCCTTGAGCCTTGAGCCTCAAGTTGAGTGGATAACGGATCTTGAGTGGTGCTGCGCTCTTGTGGGCCCATACCAGCACGATGTAGAGAATCATGCCTCTTATGGTGTGATATGGCGCTTTACACTAGGAAGTATACAGCACAAACTTGCAGCATCATTCTGTGTGCTATCTGCAGCAATTCCTATATGAGGTGCAGCTTTCCCGCACAACACGCGCCATGCGTGCACCATTCCCGCGCTTCACGATGTATACGTGCGCGCACGTTCCCGCGCTTGCGCGCCCTATGGCGCCAGCCATCCAGATGCATCCATCCACTGTCCACCAAGTTCTATAGTGTGTATATTTCTATTTCTCTCATTTGCATATTGTTCCGTCTTTATTTTTATCATGGACCCTTACTTATATATATATATATTTACATACATACTCGGTAGCGCTTCGGCTCCGCATGATCACGCTTAGGCGCGCTATATAAGCGCCAGCAGTACATACTAAGAGAGGACCTTTCACTACTTACTTTTCACCTTACTTTAGTTACTTTCCACCCACTTACTACCTAGAAACTCGCAGTAGATATCTATTTGTTTACACTTCACATCACTCTTCTCTTATCTTGTAACATATTAGCACTTAAGTCTACCTCTCTATTGTGTTCCGCTTACGCGCGCGCGCTTTCCCACGCCTTGCGCGCACCTGCACTTTCTCGCGCTTCGCTTCAGCGCGTACCTGTAGATCTTCGCTGCACTCGCTTCCCCTATAGGGTCGAACGCACTTGCCATCTCAAGTAAAGCAGACTAGTAGGCAACGCGCGACCTTTCAACATTTATAGATACTGGCAGGAGCATCATTTGTTCCTCTCAGTATTGTTGTTTCTACAACGGTAATGTTTGGCAGATAAGCCATAGTCGTTTTGCAGTTGCTCAGCAAGTTCCTCACACTCCAACTTCAAGAAGCCATGCACAAGTGACTCTGCCAGTATGGGTAGCATGCTGTGACTTGATGAAACCAGCAATGGCTTGAACTACCTTCTTTTTCATGGACAGTTTAGGCTGTACTGCGGCGTAGTACAGGTTGGGGTGATTGAAAGACTGCATCAGGCATAAGGGGTTGGGTAAACCTAAGCATGCCTTGAGCTGGCTGGATTGGAATGAGCACAGAGTCGATCCCTCAGAAAGGGGAGTGTAGAAGGGGTAGGGGGTAGTGAGGAACCAGCGGCTTGGCGGTAAAGATGAGCCACTGTTGGTCATGTGTGGGACTAGCACTAGAATAGAGTTCCTGTAAGATAAGGGTGAATATGTTAGCTGGAACTTACAGGAGGCAAAAAAAATACTTACCTTGGGTTGATGATACCTGAAAATTTGATGTCCTGCTCAGTGCTGTGTGTGAGCATTGAGGCTGGATGGTGAGGTCGACGATGGCATCAGCATGCTCACTGCGAGACAAAACTTCAGAACTCTCCAAAATTTCAAACTCCGCCACAAACCAGATCACATATACACAAATGGATAGGAGTTTTGATTCCCTCAACTCCCCAATTGTGACCATGGCTCAATCATCCACCAGTAAAGAACTCCTGGCTATTGTAGATCAGGCCAAACTTTCCCTGGCCAAGCTACAGTACCAGGATATCCTGTCTGTGGTTAATTGCACTAATTGTGTGATGATTGCGGTGCTTGATGCTCACAATCAGTTTACCTGCTTCCCAGCAGATAATTCTGAGGATGCTGACCTGGCTCGCAAATTTGCAGAGTTCCGTACCTGCCCAGAGTGGAAGGGTGGCTTTCTAGCAATTGATGGCTCAACTATGAATCTTTTCACCAAACCTGGTTACTTAGGTGAGACATTTTATGATAGGAAATCCAAATATTCCCTTGGCTGTCAGATATTTTTTTTTAATCTTCATGTGCAAAAATTGATTTAATTCTAGGCAGTCATTTTGCCCCATAACCTTCTCATTGTGGATTATTCTCTGGGTCATCCTGGCAGTGTCTATGATGCATTCGCTTTTCAATCTACCTGATGGTCATTGGGTGTGGGCTGACAGTGCATATCCATTGGAGCCATGGTGCATTGCCCCTTTCAAGAAGCCTCACTATGGGTGGTTGACTAAGGACCAGAAGACATTTAATTATCATCTCTCTAAGGTATTTTTTTTTGAGGTTTATATTTCAGTAGATTAAATTTTTTTAGATCCGTGTTGGTGTTGAACACACATTGGCTGTTTTGAAGGGATGGTTCCAGTCCCTTTGAGAGCTCCGGTTCAGAATTCAGGCTGAGAAAGACTTTGAGTTTGCTATGCAGTGGATCAAGTGCTGCATTATCCTACACAACATGATCATTCGCTTTGAAATCAAGCATCGCAAGAGGGATGGAACATACTAGAGTTCTCTAAAGTTGGCTTATGTTGAGAGGGAAGATTTCATTGATTGAAAAGTTGAGGGTCCAGATGGTGAAGAAGTTGTTGGGGACAGGACTTATGAAGGGACTCCAGGTCAAGCTGCTGTACTCTTTGACAGTCCTCACTCAGATGCACAACATAGGGAAGGATAATCTCTCTCATATCAGATTTGACATGTACTACCACAAAGAAATATGTACAACATATGTATCCAGCCATGTAACAACAGATGTCAAATGAATTTTTCTTTTTAAAAAAAAGACAAGATGGTTAAAAAAACATGAAAGCAATACAGCGATGGACGGAGATAATGGACACAACAACAACAAACAACTCATGCAGCTCCATCCAATGCCAAGGCTCTGCCACCCTTGCAGAGGGTCTCAGCCTTCTTGTTGAGTACCTGCGAATGTGCTTCATGCACCCGTATATCCACTTTATGGAGGCGGATCTCCAGTTCCTTATTCTTCTGTTGGCGCTGATGGTTGAGGGCCGCTTGAGACACCTAGTGATCCCGCGTTGAGCTTAGCCACTCATATTTTTTCGATTCAAGATGATGCTCAGATTTTACCTCGAGTTTTGTGAGGAACCTCTGATGCTTACTGTCATGACACAACATAGCATCCGACTGTAAGCTCTCGATCTCACCCCAAAACTGGTCCACCTGCTGCACAACATTGGATTTAGCCTTCTTCTTTGAGCTCCCTGTGCTGACTGGCAGTGACATCTGTGGGGTCGGGATCATGCGCTTACTACTACTAATGATGCAATCCGCAATGCTCATGACGAAGACTTTGACATGTCTGTTCCTGAAGACGACATCAATGGGGTAGATCCTGGCCCAACAGTTCTGCAAGCGCATACACGATTAGCGCAAACTGCACACAAGTATATTCCCTCACTGTTGTGTGTCAACTGTCTGATTTGGCATGCAGAGACAAAACGTGCACGCACCGTGCTCGCTCTCGCTGAAGAGTTGGATATCCCTTGTCTACCTGAGATGGTCCGCCACTTTCTCTTCCAGCAGACACGTCCGGATGATCCACAAGATGTGTCGGAAATTCCTATTGCAGGATGCCCTCGATATGAGGGCAAAATATTAGTATTCAACTCTGCATGCTCACAGTTTTATGCCCCAAGTGATATAAGTGGGATCGGTGGGATGTGGAGTGAACACATTCATGCTTGTCCCATGTGGTGGAACGAGGCCCCTCGTTATGACTGTGCTTTCGTCAATATTGGGTCAGAAGATGTGGGCATTTGAGGACTCGAAGTCGTGAGGATTCATGCGTTCTTCTCATTCATTTATGGAGGAAAGACTTACCCGTGTGCTGTCGTGCGCTGGTTTAATATCATTGGAGACATGCCCGATGAAGATACTGGCATGTGGATGGTCCATCCGGCCTGCGGCACCAACAATGCACCTCTCTACAACATTATACATGTCGATTCAATCTATTGTGCGGCTCACCTCATTCCCGTTTATGGCAGACATTTTCTCTGCCACAATATTAATCTACACAATTCATATGACAGTTTTCGAACATTTTATGTCAATAAATACACTGATCATCATGCTTTTGACCTCGCATCATAGACATTTGCACTTATCTTTTTCACTTTAATACAATTGATCGCATTTTTGAGCCTTATCATCTTTGTTCCCTTGGACGACTTGAAACAGCTTAAGCTAGGTACTCTTGGACTGACTTGTTGTGCCTTGGTGAGCATTTGCGAAGTTGCCTGAAAAGTAAAGCTCGAATAAGCCGCTAAAAGTCAAATAAGGAATTTTGGATTTTGCTGATGTACAGACACTCATAAAGCGGTGCATCAAGGTGAAGGATGGTAATCCCGTGGCCTTAAGGCTGTTGGATGAGATTGCCAGGCACGTGGTGAGTGTTTGTTATAATTTATTTGAAATTCTTGTTGTTAAACCAAGACATTCGACACAGGCAAAAGACTTGAAACTATACAGTGGGGATGCTACATCATTCTCCCCACAGCTACTCTCATTTTCCTGCCGTTGTGAGACAGCACTCAAAGGGTGGCACCTTTGAAAATGTTTCCAACTGGACCTCGGTCACCAACAATGACCCACAGATCAAGAGCCACCCACGATTTGAGAAGACCATGGACTATTGCCCCCCCTCCACACTCAACATTCCTGCCATCCCCACAGTGACTGATATTCTCACTACTCTCCCAACAACACTGACCCTCATTGTCCCACCATGGACAGCCTCGACCCCACCACCCATGCCATCCCACACGGACGCAGATATCATCTCCAAGCCAGTAGCGGAACCGAAATGATGAGTGTGAGTGCTCAAGAACCCACCTGTTAGTCATCTGGCACATCTGCTCCTAAGATACCAACACTTGTATTTTCCCGAAGCTGAGAGGGAACAGTGGAAGGTAGTTTTTGCAGCCGGCGATAGCAAGAAGAGGAAGGCAGAAGATAAAGATACTGATGAGGTTATTGTGGTTGCCAACAAGAAGAGGAAGTTGAAGTCTGATGTCGACAAAGAGCCAACAGGAGTCATCTATGCAGCCAACCTAAGTGAATTAGAGCCCACATCAAGAGATATCTTACAGGGCATCCAGGACCTCAGTAGGAGATTGGATCTCCTCATGGCCAATGAGTGGGTAGAAGCATTGGAAGTCAGAGTGGGTTCGGTGGAGACCAACCTGCTCAAGTGGTTGGACGAGTTAGAGCAACGGCTCAACGAATGCGATGCCCAGTGGAAATCTTCCAAATCCCTAGGATAGATGAAGTTGATAACTGTAGATACTCTGGAGGACTGTGTACTTTTATATGATTGCATGTGTAGCCTGGCGCTACATATTTATCCCAGTTCAATTGATTGAGTCCCACATATTGTGTGTGTATATCATACTGTTGGATCAGCCTATATGAGGAAGTGGAAAGACTGAAAGGACGGAAGGTTATTGACTCCAAGTGGGTATGTGCATGGTCTTGGCTGCTTATATAATCATATTCTACCTTCACCTAGGACTCTACAGTCATTACCTAGTTTCCCCAGTTTCCAGTTCTTGATGGCTCCTTAATGAAAGCCAATTATTCCCCACAGCAGCTAAAAGCCTGGCGTCACCAAGCTCATAGGAACTTACTCAATATTACAGTTGTATGGGTAGGTCACGTACTGGAAAAACACACACAACGAGGAGGAAGTAGGGACATCTTGTTGGAACCTGGGAACGCATATCTTACATACCCATTAAGCCCGGAAGAACGGGACACATTACCAAACCATCCTAACTGGGTTTGCTCAATTTGTGCTACCTTGGAGCAACGGGCCCAGAACGCAGAAGCCCACCTGAAAGAAATTGAAAGGATAGAAGTCCAGTCTTGGGTAACATTCTCACTAGATTAGTTTTCTTAGTTTCCCTAAAGTTTTTTTTCAATGAACCGCATACCCACTGAAGAACGCATATTGCAGGAAACGCAAGCAGCCTGCCTAGTTTTGTTTATACATCATGTACATTGTTCACATTCAACCCTATTTTCCGGATACTTACAGACTATAGTTGTACTATGGGATTTGGGATACCAGCGGCTTGTAAGAAGGCACTGCACCACATGTTACTTATTATTTCACTGGTTATTGCGCGCGGAGAGGCAAATGATTGAGCCGGAATCTAAATTAATGACGGAACCTTAATTTCGGCAACAGAAAGAATGTATACTTTAAAACCTAAAACCTTAGCGGCATTAATTAAACAGACAGCGCCCTTTTCATTTACAATTCATTAGGGGCCGGATAGCGGAACTTTCAAATTTTGCTCCTTTTGGTAATATTTTTCAATCCCTGAAGACCCTGTCCAGTCTTCATATAAAGGACGCCAAAAAAACTGGACGCGTTTTTCAGTTTTCCGCTGGTATACAACAGCACTAGTACTCATTACCACTCTTTTTTGTCTCACAAATCACTCCACTCTTTCTTTAACTATGTTCTTCAGCCACCGCTGCCCCACATTCGTGGACTCTTCCCACAAGTATCCTACCATCCACACCAAGCCGGACCAGTACACTTGGGTAGCGGACCATAAGTGGACATACATGAGTGTGTGCCACAGCCACTGTGCTCCCATTCCGTTTGTTACCAGCGCTACACCGGCCAAATTTCTGAGGTAGTGGCTCAATACGAAAATGTCCTCATTGTCAATGTCGTTCTACTCCACTACGAAAAGACAGACCCATATGCGCCGCCGCCTGTTCGCCTTACTCTGCCTACTGGCATTATTACCCTTCCCAAACGCCTTTGCTTCGTATGCTGGTATAAGAAGCATACCAAACGCCTCACAAAGTTCAAGGCGGCAGATCCAGCTATGTTAATACAGTCTATGAAGGAGCTGATGGAGTATTTTGAAGGAAGTGAGAGTTTTGGGAATAGTGACAGATGAACTTGGAGGTGAAATTTTGGTACGGAGCTCTCAGGATCGTCGCTACGATGACCTACTGAGACATGTTAGAAGTCTAGGTCCATTGTCCAAGTGTAGTTTGACACACACATCAATTTCCTCAGCCACTACCTAATCTTTTCCAGTAGAGTACCTCATCCCTTCCTTACCCACATTTCCACATACCTACATAAAGTAGAACCTTTTCTGACCAGATACGTATCGTAACAACTGTAACCACCTATGACAATCCTGGGACTTATCTTGTACACTATCTACACACTCGCGTTATACATCTTAGCAAGTAAATATACAGATTATCTGGAGATTGTTGACAATGACATTTACTCAAGTACAACTATTCTTCTGGGAGAATGATGAATCGTGCAACAAGGATCAAGCAAGGCTTGGAGGCAAACCCTCAGCCTGAACCTGGTTTCTTACCTAGCCAATATCTTCGCCTTGGTCATATATATTCGAATGAAGAACACTTCCGAAGCCAGTTGACTATAGCTGAAAGTCAGATTGACCGGTTAGGAAGTTCATTTATGTGGCATGCAAGAGAAATGCATCCACATGGAGACCTACATTATCAAGTAGATGTGCGACCCTATCGGGGAAGAATAAGGGGTGCATACCTTCTCAGGTGGCGGTGCCCTACATTTTCATGTTGTCTTTAAGTCCATCTAAGCAAGAGGCTTAGTGGGAAGACTTCAGGAGTTGATAGTAACGCTTGACCTCACTCATTGGAGTTGTAGGTGTTTATCTATAGATCATCTATCTAAGAAGACAGCATGAAGGTATTCGTACTTCTTGATGTTGTGGGTGTGCTCGGTCTTCGCTTCAAGCTTCGCGAGAAAGCGAAGGTGCTTGTGGTCATGGTGTGACATAGCGTCGGATTGCATTGACACTATCTTGTCCTTCACCTCCTCAACCTGCTGCATCACATCTAACTTCACTTTCTTCTTCTTCGATCCACCGGTGCTGTTGGGAAGCGAGGTCCGGGGGGTCGAGGACATCAAATAGTCTGACGACAAGGTAGTATTATGTGTTGTGGATGAAGGTGCTGATGTGCTAAAAGAGATATCCGATGGCAGCCTGTGGTGTCTACCATGGCTCAGTGGCTTCTTCAGGCCAAACGCTGAGCGGCTGTTGTAGACAGACAATGGGGATGCTGTTGGCATGTGGAAAGGTTCAGGAGCGTGGGGAACAGCTGGAACAGCTGGAACAGCAGGAACGTCAGGAGGGGGAGACTGCGACGAAAGTTGTTGCTTCTTCCCAGCGGCTTTGGAAGAGTTATTGGCCCTCTTGTCACCTTCGAGGGGGGCATCCAATGGGCTACCAGTGCCTTGAAAGTCCATATCCATGTCCATGTAGTCATCTGATGTTGGAAGGCCAGGGAGATGGATTTGGGGGGACTGATTGTAGGGGGCAGCAGAGGGTAAGGGGGCAGCAGAGGGCAAAGGGCCAGTGGAGGGCAAAGGGGCAGTGGAGGGTAATGCGGGAGCAGGAGCAAGATGTTGCAGTGTTGGGTCGATGGAGGGATCACCGTGTGAACCCCCAGCATAAGGTATTGCTGGGGGATAGTAGTACTGGCTGTAATATGAGGGCAGAGTGCTGGAAGGATGGATATCGTGTGGGGGATATACTTGAGGAGGCAGTTGAGGGTACTGCATGGGACCAGCACTGGCATCAATGTGCATGGAGGGACCAGCCCCAGCATGTGGTCCAACCAAGGAATACAATGCGCCGGCGTGATCGACGCCAGGTCTTGATGAGTGAGTCTTCGCAGCCATGGACAGATTGGAATGCCAAATGGCATCCAATTCCATATACCATGGGAGCTCTAAGAGCACTGCATCTACAAAATACATCAGCTAAGGACCGGAAAATAAGGAACGAGGACTCACCCAAAAGATTTCTTGTTTGCGTGCCTTCACCAGGCATCACACCAGAGCCAGTACTGTCAAAAGATGCCTTGAGTTTCTTGTATTTCCCCCTACATCTACATAAATTTCAGTATTTTTTGTAACAGAAGAAATGACAGAAATGACTCACGTTTGGATGCGGTTGCAGACTCTGTCATGAAACTTCTTTGTGTTGGTGGTGAATGTGTGACCTTACCTCAGGTGGTCGGTGAAAATAAGTTTGGCCAGGGTACCATACACCTGCCCCTTGTCCGAGCCCGAGGCACCATCATTGACGGTAGACATCGCTTTCTTGCTGTCAGAGTAGAAAAGTACTCTGCAATCAGTGGGGTGCATGGAGAGATGGCTGAAGAGGATGTTGGTCAGAGCACGGTCACTCTGCCACTGGATAGTCAGGTGGGGTACATGATGTTCTGGAGGGAGTTTGGCTAGTCCGCGAGTGTTTGGACCTTTGTGGTCCATTGACCTGGAGCAGCGCACTAGAGGGTTGGCTTTCGAGCGTGCAGAACGGTGTACACATTGGCGAGAAGGAGGCATGGTTGTTTGAAACTCCACCAGCGATGCTGGCCTGACCTTCAATCGCAGTCCCAGCGGCTGAAGTGTTGGAAGCCACTTAGCCACAAGTTGAAAGCCTTAGTCAGAGTTTAGCGAGCTTTCAAACATTTCTAATTTTTATTTTGAGTATCACTATTATCCACCCTATCAATATGATAGCCTCCTCTATATATCTATCACCATGTCTAAATCCATCCATGCAGCCCATTGGTATATACTGATATTTCATCATTGTATGTATTTTTGCTCCATCACGTATACTAGATAGTATGGTGGATTTTTGGTTACAGTTTGATTTTCTGCTATGCTAGAAGGATTTTCAATGTCTAATTGTTGTTTGTTTTGAGTATTGCACTTTGTTTTATTTTATTTGATGTATACCCTAGTTGGATTCTACTGCTGGTTTGTATCGAAGCTTGTGTTCACATGGGATCCCAGCAAGGATGACATGATGTTTGCAGGTATTCTAATTTTGGCATTTTCCACAAATTTGTCTTTGTTTTGTTTTGTTTTTATGTCACTTATATCTTGCTCAAACAACAGCCATTTGACAAACCAAGACTGGCCCATAGACTTGTCTCCACTAGGACTACAACTTTCAATAAGACATGGAACACAAATAACAAAGTAGTTGAAGAGGTGAAATAAAATATTTCAAAGTCCAGTAAATATGGCATATATATGAGTTGTAGCTTAGAAATATATGTGGTCTCATAGCCTAGTGGTTATGCTGCACTTGAAGTGTGTGTGTTATTATGTGACTTCATATGCACATAGGTGGTTGACAGTTTACTGTAAACTTGGCTGGGTGCAATTATTTTGATATATATGTTTTTTTTTTCATAAGAGCCATGATAAGCTGATATTTCTAACCATATGTCAATCTGATCAGCATGACAGTTGAGATGAAATCCATGTCTAAATAATTTGATGCTCTGATTGTCTGATGGAACTGGTTGGTCTGATTTCAGATAACACTTGTATGAAATCAGGTAAAATCTAATGAGCTGATTTGTTTGATTTGCCCTGTGGGCCTGCTATCAGAGCAATTCGATTCATTGACTAAGCACTTGTTAATACCGCCAAGGAGTTGTAGGCAGTCACACTTGGCATCTTCAAGTCTTGCAATATCTCCGACTTGGATTCTCAGGACTTTATTGATGTGCTGACATAGTTCAGCAAAAGCCAACTGTATTGTAACAAGTGGGAGAGGAATAAACTCAGGGTTTTCATCCATAGCTATGATAGAGCAGGAGTTTGGGCTGTCGCAGATTCATGGTGTATCTTGAACTGAGGTGGAGCAAGACAATCTCCAAGTTGTTTGGCAGTACGATAGAGAAATGCCCCTGAATCACAACTCAGAGACAGATACTAATAACATCAGATACTGGCAATTGGATTGGAGCTGCAGATACGGACTGTAGGGTGCAATAAATAGTGTACATGGGCAGCAAACATGAAGCATGAAGGCTGAAAGTATTGCTGAAACTGCAAAATATAAGCTATGTGTGCTGAAACTCCGAGCTTGTGCTGCGTAAGTGATTCTAGTGTACATGGGCAGCAAGGATGAAGCCCAAAAGTATTGTTGAAACTGTGGAATAAGAGCTATGCATATTAAGGGTCCAAGCTTGTGCTGTGTAAGTGACAATGACTCATAAAAATACAGAAAGACAAAAATTAGGTTCAATGTGAGTACGGCTTTCAATTGGGGGGAGTGTGCATTATGAAGCGATAAACATAGGCATTGGATTTCTGCAAATGTCTAGCAATCACATCAGCACTTTGTATGGTCGTCAGTGTTGAATGACCTGACAACAATTTCAAACCACATTATAGTCAGCAGTCGTGTGCAAGACACATCCATGGATCCAGGCATCGAGGGACGTTGCAATTGACTCATCATCTGGCAATGGTTCACAGACAAAGTCGAGTGTTGTTTCATTGAGGGTAACTTCGATCTCATTTAAGCTTGTGTGGCATGAGACTGGCACCGGTTCCGGCTGTTGGCAACTGATCTGATATTCCACTGGCACGTTATGCAGAAAAAAGTGCACCTTCCAATCAGACGCAGTGTTCCTTGGAACATGATGGGCATATCGAGGAGGAAGATCGTGCTTGAAACATATCTGATAGCAATGATCAACTGATGTGAGCTGGGTAAAATCAAAAGATGAAATATACCGTAATTGTCCAGTCACCATGTGGCATAAGGTCAGATCCTGTAGCAAAGCACATGAAGGAACATGACCGAAGGGTGCAGCTTCCTGCATCAAGCTGATGTTGGTCAAGTGGGACAACATCATGGCACAGCATCGGATGTTCTGGGTGACCAATGTCAGAAAGGTAGAGTCTCGATCTGTTCACGAACAGCGTCTCGACTTTCTTCGTTCAACTGAACAGCTTGCGAAATATTGAGAGCATGAGTGATGAAGGGATCATCGGCTCTGATAAACATGAGGTGCACAAAGATATCTTCAGGACAAGTGACTGTTCGCCCATAGGCAATCGGAATGTTCTTATAGTTCATTGACAGAGTCTATGGGGCATCTGTGAGTATCATAGACGGACAAAAAGTTTGAACAAATCTACGTCACAAAAGGAGGTGCCAGTGCAGACACGCATATTGAATCCACGTTTGAATTCGTAAAGGTCAGGAACATCGATGATGGAGCAGCCGAGCAGTACAGAAGCAAACATCTGCTTCGTGATATCTTCCCATTCCTCCGCAGATGAGATTTCAGCAGGCTGGATATACAATGTTAGCACACATACTACTAATGGTATCAATGACTCAGTAGCAGTTACATACCGTAAGCCACAAATATTGAATAAGCATTGAAGCAGTGGCACCGCACAACGACAGGTCAACATTTTATCATAGGCCTGCGGCCACTTTCGTAATGTGGCAGCTTTAGTGGCAGTACGAGATCAGTGAGTTCAAGGTCAAATGAAGCATCCCAGCCCATAATCACGAATAGGAAGAGAGCAGGGGACAAGGGCGCAGGGCCATGACCTGTAATGAGAAAATGGGCAGCTGAAAGATAACCCAGGACATGGAAACTTGGCGCCCGCTCTGGCATGACGGTCGGGTTGCTGCGGAGGTTGAGATCATGATACCCAGTGTCACCATCTGCTCCTCCTTTGACAAGTTTCTGATCACGACAGACTTCCTTGATAACCATCCGCAGAATCGAACGCTCTACAACATCACCTACAGCAGGACCTCTAAATATATTAGGGTCAGATAAGTCAAAGGTCCGGACTGAGTGAAAGATATTGCGAAGATCAAAATTTGTGTTGATCTTCACACCCTCTGGTAGGAGGTAAACAGGTAAACCTGCAAGCCTCATGGCAGTAGTAGTGATATTTGGCCCCTCGACCACGAGTGATACAACATGTTCAATATCTGTGGAGTCAGGGATGAGGGGAGAGATCTCGCGTCCATTGGGTAGTACTTGGGCTCCACATGCAGTTGAAAACTTCTTGCTGCCAGTCAGCAACAACAGACTCAGCATCCTCAAGAAGTGTTGGAAGCCTGGAGGACTGTCTGACTGGGAAGGTTTGGTCAGGTTGTGGTGAAGGACATGGTGACGGTGAGCAAGATGACATGCGAGGAAACGGAGAGGCAGATGGAAGTGACGATGACATAGAAGGAAGCGATGAGGAAGATGAGGCAATAGATGATGAGGAGGAGAAGGTAAGAGACAATGATGAGGAGGCAAGAGACGTTGATGTGGAGGCGAGAGATGATGATGTGGAGGCAAGAGACGATACAGATGACGAGGATAATAAAACGGGGCAACCATCTAAACATAGTGTGTTGTCGGAGTCCTCAACCAACTTAGCTTTTTGAAAGGTATCAAACACACGGCTAGCCAGACATGTGTGCCTGCCAACAGGGAGCGATAGAGAAGAAGGAACATTGCCAGTGATATTGGCAATAGTCGGACCTAGATTGCAAATTAGCATGTTAAGCTATAAAGATAATGCGAGACTTACTGCACCAGAGCACTGGGAAATTCTAAACCGAACTAGGGTTTGGTATAGCTTTGGCACAGTCCCTCAGCAGTTCGAGAGTAATGAGGCGCCCTGGAACTTCGCACCCGCTCATTTTCCGACTGCCATTTTTTTTGGTAACCAGCTTGCAGAAACTGGTAACCTTCGAAGCAAAAGTCATGTTCAGAGCGTAGCTCTTCCGGCGGAAGCATCAGGTGTAACTCATGAGACGTCAGGTGAGACGCCATCTGAGAACTGACCTGCTGCCAAAAAGGTTCGTCAGCAGTGGTTGACCTGATGAGGACAAGGAAAGAGAGGTGGTACTCCTGCAAGCGACGCTGCAAAGGCAAAAAGCTTCGCAGTATAAAGCTTCAGCTGTCCTAGAAAAGGATCAGCCTTGTCTGTTGCCGAAACGTTGAGGACAGTGGGTCAGGACCTGTGAGTGGCACACTAAAACTGACAGTGCGTCTGCTTGTACTTGCCCTCGACCTACGGGTGACGGCAAGAGAATGACCAAAAGGCCCAGATGTGACACTTCGTTGTCCATGATGCATACGGCATGGGACAAGCGCCTATCGTTTGAAGACTGCATGGCAGAAGCGTTATCGGAGGGTCCTTGCCGCATCGTAGCAGGTGGTTGTGACAACGTGACCATAAGAGGACCCATAGAAACCGATGGTCGCAAAGACATAGAGCACTCTCGCATGGGCAGCTAATCCAAAGGATGATATTCAGCCGGAGGTTTTCAATCATAACAAGGACACAAGCTCACCATGTCAATTGCATTAGTGCAGTGTGATGAGATGCTGAAGAGAATGAAGAACGAGGTCCGGTACCACCGCGAGGCTTCACGTCCGTCAGTCGACCATCACGAACAACATCACGGTCAGCTGTGTTGGTTGGTTCATGCTTTGTAGCATCGCCGGCAGCCTTAAAATGGTCAAAAAGGTCGCATGGGCAGCTTATCCAAAGGATGATATTCAGCCGGAGGTTTTCAATCATAACAAGGACACAAGCTCACCGTGTCAATTGCATTTATGAATTCGACACACCCATCTTTGCAGACAAGGCAACCATTACGAGAAGGGGGATTCATGGTTGCGCACAACTGGTAACAGTTCAAATTCACCACTTGTAATATTATTATGACCCGCTCTATGAGAATGCAATGATTGGCTTGTTTACCTTTGAGTGCATAGTGCGTGAAATTTCAACCAGAGTCGCCTTGGATTTCGATGATATTGTCACTATCGGTTATATCACCTGTGAAGTAGCATTGTCCTGGGGGGTTCATAAGAAAAGGGTCTGCAGTGCAAAGCCGGTTCCATCGAGACACTGTAGAAATTAATATACAGAATTACAGCTTAGGGCGGGGGGGTATTAGGTTGATTTCTTGATACGTACCTTAGGACAACGAAAATTGGAGATTCTGTTTTCAAATCAGGACAAGGCCTTTTCATAACATGGAGGCCGGAAGCACTGACAGAGACGAAGTTGAGCATTTGAAGTAGGAACGACATGAACCGAAGAAGCATACAGGATCTGTCGGCACAAACTAAACAAAAGAAAAGTCAGTACTACACAGAATAATTGAAAACGCTGGGACACGTGTGGATCTTGCAAACGTTACAACGCCCGAACGTCTATTAGGTAGACCGACTTACTGTTACGAGCCGCAAGTCGCAAAAAGGAAACTTCCCCTTGAAAGTTGACTAGCAATAGCACAAGGTACACAAAGAAGCTATGATGTAGATGATCAAAATACTTGCACATTATTCAAGACCGAGCACCTACAAAGCTTTTGCACATGACCATATCGTCCGGAAAAATCAGCTATTGTGTAGCTGTAAGATATTTCTTTGCGGAGGGCATGAAGAAAAAGAGCAGAAAATGACGATAACAAAATGAAACTGAAGTGTCGACTGCTCAACGTTAGCCCGGCCAAGTGTGAGTTCAAAAAAAGCTTGGCATTGTGCTGTAGCTTTCCAAGGATGTTATTTCGTACTTTGTAGTCGTCCGTGAGCTGCAGCGTGATGCCAGTGCACTCAGAGTGGAAATCGTACACCGTGCTGTACTGAAATTGAATTAAACGTCAGAAACCCACTTATTAATCATATTTCTGTTACCTCGTCCGTAAACTCGTGACGCAGAAGAGTAAGGAAGTCAAGGATTGCGTACAACAGTTGCGGGTCACACATGAGAGAGGGAAACGACATGATCAGGTTGAATAGGTATTCAGCTGCGACGTCCCGAGCACGAGTTATGCGATGGGAAGAAAGAAGCTTGCGAAGTTCCTCTGATAGATGGGACGGTAGTTCCTACTCCACAGCTTGGGAATTCATCTCTCCCATGCATCCACGCATAACCTATTGACAATTTAGCACAGCGCAACATGTCCGAAGACGAACACTACCTTGTCAGCTATAGATTCCATGCATACAACAAGATAACTCTTTCGATTCAGGCTGTCATCCGTGAAGTATGACGCCAAAGAAGATGGGAGAAAGGAGACAGATCGCATACTCTTGACGTCCTGCACCATCAACGAGAACGTTACCTGTCCCAGGGACAAAGAGCGCATTTTGCTTGTGCGATGTGGATATTATGTTGTAAGGAACAAACGGTGCTTCGAGATATCCTGTGAAAATCATTAAACATCCCTCCCTTCCAAAAAAACGCAACACTAACAGAATGCACAAATTCATGTCGGATGACAGTTCTGTACTCGATTTCACTCGCCGCATCATGAACATTCTCGAGCACCAGAGTTGAGGTCTTCGTTGCGATTTCCGCCAAAACAGGTACGAGCCACGTCATCACGCCCCTCTCCTCACCAGATTTAAAGTGAAAGGGGACGCAGAGTAACAACATATTCCGGAAGAGGACCGTAGTAAGCTCTTGCGAAGCAAAAAGGTGTGGAGAGTAATCTGGATGGGTAAGAAGCGCTTCGATCGGCAAAAAAAAAAAAGAGGAAAGCTGCTCGATTGCATCTTCCGTCTGAATCAAATGTTCAGCACAACATTGCAATGTGTGAGCAAACTTACCTTGACATATCGTTCTGATGTCACCACATTCTGGATAGCAACGCCTTTTTCTCCGAAGAGGGTGAGAAGCTCAACAAAGTATACGTCACACAAATCTGGTTGTTGGTCTAGTTCCCGTGCAAGCCTCATATGCGCGGCCAACACCTGCTACCCATCATCATGCACACCATCAACCAATAGTTTCATTATTGGAGAAACAGTACACGTTTGACATGATGGATTTTTCACCAGGTGACAGCTGGGAAGCCCTGAGGCGTATTGAAAGAAAACTTCAGAGAATGTATCGAAACATGGCGCCTGAATAAGATTCGCGATCAGATCACGACACTACTTGAGAGAAAAGATAGCCTACTTTGGTACCATAGGCAAGTTCCTCGTCTCGATCTTGATCAGCTGCTTCGGTATGAAAGTGATGCTGAGAAGAAAATGTCATTGTGACAATCCATGTCAAACGATTGTATCAGTATCAAACTCGACACTGACTGCACAGGTGTCCCCTCCCTTCCTCATCAATGCTGAGATTGCGACATTGAAATCATGGTCGTTCTCGATAGTAGTTGCTCCACTTTTGCCGCCGCTTTCAGTTGTTTAGCGTCAGAAACGAAATAAACGAAAGGATGAAACACGAACGGAGAACCTGTCCATGAGAGCTTGAAACCAGGACCATAATGAACACCAGGACTATATTGATCAGCAGACTCATGGATAGCGAGGAACTTCTGGATAAATGTTGTCCTAGTAATGTCCTCGAGGACAATATGGTCGGACTTCACAGTCTTGAACTTACAAATCGCTGCCCACAAATACACGTCAATTGTTGATTATTTAATTCAAGTTCTAAGCTAGCATTGACCATTCGAAACACCACCCATTTCAACGCCATACAACAACTCAACCACATACCGGCTGATCTGCAGCTTTTACAATGCCCAGTACTGGCGGCGTTTCCATGTCCAAGAAAAAATGGGCAGAACAAGCAAGCTTGCCTCCGACCTCTACCCAAATAAGAATGGATGTTTGTCTCGGAGAGGAAGACCAGGAAGGACACTACTCTTGTGAGTCTTTTTGACAGTTCATGAATGCATGTATACTCACCATATCTTAACAGTTTCGCCAGGTTCCCTATTAGAGCCTGCTCTCGATGGAACACTCCAGCAACAGCACGAGCCTGCTATTGATGGATTGAGCTCTGACGATCGTGGCAACAACAATACAAAGGAAGTCAACATGCAAGTTAGGAGGTCCTTGCAGAACTTCTGGAATGGCGTTCACGAGCTGACCTGCGCAACGATGCGCATGTTGTCCATTGAATGCTGCAGCATTGACGCGCTGCCTGTCAACGACCATGACGCAGATGTAGGAGAAGAGAGAGTCAGGGCACAGAGGAGGACGATGAACGATGCGAAGTTTTACTCAAAATATGTGTGGACGGTGATTGACCTTGCACACACACTGCAGCTCGAGGCGCAGAAGGTGACCATGGATTGTTTGGCATGGAATGAAGGCGACTTTAAAGAGAAGCAGAAATATATGGCAGATCGGATGCGCACCATCCAGGGCATGACTATTCGAATAATGAATCTAGGGTCGGAGATTCTCAACGGCGGCAAAAGTGGAGCAACTACTATCGAGAACGACCATGATTTCAATGTCGCAATCTCAGCATTGATGAGGAAGGGAGGGGACACCTGTGCAGTCAGTGTCGAGTTTGATACTGATACAATCGTTTGACATGGATTGTCACAATGACATTTTCTTCTCAGCATCACTTTCATACCGAAGCAGCTGATCAAGATCGAGACGAGGAACTTGCCTATGGTACCAAAGTAGGCTATCTTTTCTCTCAAGTAGTGTCGTGATCTGATCGCGAATCTTATTCAGGCGCCATGTTTCGATACATTCTCTGAAGTTTTCTTTCAATACGCCTCAGGGCTTCCCAGCTGTCACCTGGTGAAAAATCCATCATGTCAAACGTGTACTGTTTCTCCAATAATGAAACTATTGGTTGATGGTGTGCATGATGATGGGTAGCAGGTGTTGGCCGCGCATATGAGGCTTGCACGGGAACTAGACCAACAACCAGATTTGTGTGACGTATACTTTGTTGAGCTTCTCACCCTCTTCGGAGAAAAAGGCGTTGCTATCCAGAATGTGGTGACATCAGAACGATATGTCAAGGTAAGTTTGCTCACACATTGCAATGTTGTGCTGAACATTTGATTCAGACGGAAGATGCAATCGAGCAGCTTTCCTCTTTTTTTTTTTTTGCCGATCGAAGCGCTTCTTACCCATCCAGATTACTCTCCACACCTTTTTGCTTCGCAAGAGCTTACTACGGTCCTCTTCCGGAATATGTTGTTACTCTGCGTCCCCTTTCACTTTAAATCTGGTGAGGAGAGGGGCGTGATGACGTGGCTCGTACCTGTTTTGGCGGAAATCGCAACGAAGACCTCAACTCTGGTGCTCGAGAATGTTCATGATGCGGCGAGTGAAATCGAGTACAGAACTGTCATCCGACATGAATTTGTGCATTCTGTTAGTGTTGCGTTTTTTTGGAAGGGAGGGATGTTTAATGATTTTCACAGGATATCTCGAAGCACCGTTTGTTCCTTACAACATAATATCCACATCGCACAAGCAAAATGCGCTCTTTGTCCCTGGGACAGGTAACGTTCTCGTTGATGGTGCAGGACGTCAAGAGTATGCGATCTGTCTCCTTTCTCCCATCTTCTTTGGCGTCATACTTCACGGATGACAGCCTGAATCGAAAGAGTTATCTTGTTGTATGCATGGAATCTATAGCTGACAAGGTAGTGTTCGTCTTCGGACATGTTGCGCTGTGCTAAATTGTCAATAGGTTATGCGTGGATGCATGGGAGAGATGAATTCCCAAGCTGTGGAGTAGGAACTACCGTCCCATCTATCAGAGGAACTTCGCAAGCTTCTTTCTTCCCATCGCATAACTCGTGCTCGGGACGTCGCAGCTGAATACCTATTCAACCTGATCATGTCGTTTCCCTCTCTCATGTGTGACCCGCAACTGTTGTACGCAATCCTTGACTTCCTTACTCTTCTGCGTCACGAGTTTACGGACGAGGTAACAGAAATATGATTAATAAGTGGGTTTCTGACGTTTAATTCAATTTCAGTACAGCACGGTGTACGATTTCCACTCTGAGTGCACTGGCATCACGCTGCAGCTCACGGACGACTACAAAGTACGAAATAACATCCTTGGAAAGCTACAGCACAATGCCAAGCTTTTTTTGAACTCACACTTGGCCGGGCTAACGTTGAGCAGTCGACACTTCAGTTTCATTTTGTTATCGTCATTTTCTGCTCTTTTTCTTCATGCCCTCCGCAAAGAAATATCTTACAGCTACACAATAGCTGATTTTTCCGGACGATATGGTCATGTGCAAAAGCTTTGTAGGTGCTCGGTCTTGAATAATGTGCAAGTATTTTGATCATCTACATCATAGCTTCTTTGTGTACCTTGTGCTATTGCTAGTCAACTTTCAAGGGGAAGTTTCCTTTTTGCGACTTGCGGCTCGTAACAGTAAGTCGGTCTACCTAATAGACGTTCGGGCGTTGTAACGTTTGCAAGATCCACACGTGTCCCAGCGTTTTCAATTATTCTGTGTAGTACTGACTTTTCTTTTGTTTAGTTTGTGCCGACAGATCCTGTATGCTTCTTCGGTTCATGTCGTTCCTACTTCAAATGCTCAACTTCGTCTCTGTCAGTGCTTCCGGCCTCCATGTTATGAAAAGGCCTTGTCCTGATTTGAAAACAGAATCTCCAATTTTCGTTGTCCTAAGGTACGTATCAAGAAATCAACCTAATACCCCCCCGCCCTAAGCTGTAATTCTGTATATTAATTTCTACAGTGTCTCGATGGAACCGGCTTTGCACTGCAGACCCTTTTCTTATGAACCCCCCAGGACAATGCTACTTCACAGGTGATATAACCGATAGTGACAATATCATCGAAATCCAAGGCGACTCTGGTTGAAATTTCACGCACTATGCACTCAAAGGTAAACAAGCCAATCATTGCATTCTCATAGAGCGGGTCATAATAATATTACAAGTGGTGAATTTGAACTGTTACCAGTTGTGCGCAACCATGAATCCCCCTTCTCGTAATGGTTGCCTTGTCTGCAAAGATGGGTGTGTCGAATTCATAAATGCAATTGACACGGTGAGCTTGTGTCCTTGTTATGATTGAAAACCTCCGGCTGAATATCATCCTTTGGATAAGCTGCCCATGCGACCTTTTTGACCATTTTAAGGCTGCCGGCGATGCTACAAAGCATGAACCAACCAACACAGCTGACCGTGATGTTGTTCGTGATGGTCGACTGACGGACGTGAAGCCTCGCGGTGGTACCGGACCTCGTTCTTCATTCTCTTCAGCATCTCATCACACTGCACTAATGCAATTGACATATTAGTATAATCCCCCATAGGGGGGGGGGGTTATGAAAAGTGACAAGTGAGTAGTCACAGATGTGACAGGTGTGACAAGTGAATAGTGAGTAGTGAAAAGTGAAAAGTGAGTAGTGAAAAGTGAATAGTGAGTAGTGCCAAGTGCCAAGTGAAAGTGAAAAGTGAGTAGTGAAAAGTGAAAAGTGAGTAGTGAACAGTGAATAGTGACAAGTGACAAGTGAATAGTGAGTAGTGACAAGTGCCAAGTGAAAAGTGAGTAGTGACAAGTGAATAGTGACAAGTGAAAGTGAAAAGTGAGTAGTGAAAAGTGAGTAGTGACAAGTGAAAGTGAAAAGTGAGTAGTGAAAAGTGTGCCAAGTGAAAGTGAGTAGTGAACAGTGAATAGTGAGTAGTGACAAGTGCCAAGTGAAAGTGAAAAGTGAAAAGTGAATAGTGAGTAGTGACAAGTGCCAAGTGAAAGTGAAAAGTGAATAGTGAGTAGTCAGTAGTGACAAGTGACAAGTGAATAGTGAGTAGTGACAAGTGCCAAGTGAAAAGTGAGTAGTGACAAGTGAATAGTGACAAGTGAAAGTGAAAAGTGAGTAGTGAAAAGTGAAAAGTGAGTAGTGAAAAGTGTGCCAAGTGAAAGTGAGTAGTGAACAGTGAATAGTGACAAGTGACAAGTGAATAGTGAGTAGTGACAAGTGCCAAGTGAAAGTGAAAAGTGAATAGTGAGTAGTGAGTAGTGACAAGTGACAAGTGAATAGTGAGTAGTGACAAGTGCCAAGTGAAAAGTGAGTAGTGACAAGTGAATAGTGACAAGTGAAAGTGAAAAGTGAGTAGTGAAAAGTGTGCCAAGTGAAAGTGAATAGTGAGTAGTGAGTAGTGACAAGTGCCAAGTGAAAAGTGAGTAGTGACAAGTGAATAGTGACAAGTGACAAGTGAAAGTGAAAAGTGACAAGTGACAAGTGAATAGTGAGTAGTGAGTAGTGACAAGTGCCAAGTGAAAAGTGAGTAGTGACAAGTGAATAGTGACAAGTGACAAGTGAAAGTGAAAAGTGAATAGTGAATAGTGTTATAGTGAAAGCAAATGAAAGTGAATGGTGAATAGTAGTGAATAGTGAAAGCAAAGAGTGTTAGTTAGTGAGATAACCCCCCTCCCCCTCCCAGAGATTATATATAAGGGTACGGGTTTTCGGCAGGTACAACGAGCTCAGACCTGTACCTGCACCCATGCAGGGTTTACCCACATGTACCATAGGTATCACTGCCAGTGCTTAGCACATATGTCCAGCACACATCAGCAAATGCTGACATGACTCGAACATATGTGGATGGCACAAGAAGGAGGAGTGGAGGCACGGGCAAATTTGTTGGCATGCACTGGGCATTTGCGCATGGCATCTGTTGCATTGGGAACAGCGTAGTGGTCGTTGGTGATGGTGTTGCTGGGGTATGCGCTAGTGCCAGCACGAATGACAAAGATGGTGGTGTGAATGATAGTGAAGGTGACACAGATGGTGGTGTTGGCATCGTGGATGGTGGCATTGGTGTGAAAGCTGGTGGTGGTGTGAGTGCTGGGTGCATGAAGATATGCATCAGCGACATGACATGTATGACATCATTGTTGTTGCTGGGGGTATTGTCCTTTCATCTTCGTGTGTCGTCCGCATGTGTTTGCATCGCATCAGCACTTGTTGACGTGTTTCGGGCGCGTGCGCTGTGAATGTGGAGTTGATGTACTTGGGAAGGCATGTTAGGTGCCAGTGTTGGTGGTGGTGCCGGTTGTAGCGTGCATGTGGGAAGTATGGCATTTGTGGAAGGCACGGGTATAGCTGGAGTATGGGTAAGAGTGTGGGTCTTAGAATCCCAACCCATACCCTTACCCATGACCCATGTGGGTTACCCGTACCCATGCAGATCCCTATATGCACCCCCCAACTCAACTATCTGAGCTGTACTCACCATTCTTTGTGTCTAGCGCCTGTTTCGACAGACTCCCCACAGCCAATCAAGCTCACATACAACTTTTCAATATTCTCCACATCCAAATACAAAAAAGACTTCAAGAAACACTCGTCTAGCAGAAAGAATGGATCATTCAAGCTCAACAGTGACGAGCCATTTGACATGTAGAAGGCTCAGCTCCTTTGCCAAATTGAAAATGTAGCTAAGCCAAAGAAACTTGATATTAAGAATTATGAACTTTTATTGAGCATTCCCTGACTCTTCCCACACCCACTTCCAATCAATGAGGATGACGAGTATAAGATACTTCTGGAACACATTCGCAAACACAAGGACTTGACAGGTAACATTTGGATCCAAGAGATACCATTGAAGACTTCACGAAAAGTATGTCTTGTTTGACTGACTCAAGATTTATTTATATCTCTGAGCAGCAAAAGAGTACTGCAGGCAATGATGAAACTGATGAGCTTAGGAATGGTGAGGATGCTGATGTTGAGGAAAGTGAGTCTGACAATGGTCGAAGAAGGAAAAAAATGAAGAAAGCAAAGATGAAGGTATGTCCTGTACTATATAAATACATCTCACTGTTCATGCTTCAGTTAGGCACCACAGGGGGATGACACCAATCCTGCAAATCAAGAGCACAACAACAACATCAAGATCCTTTGCACCCAATGGGTCTGCCACAAGAAGCTGGGTTGTCGCAGTGATCACTGCTTCATCAATCCTACCAACAACATACATTTTGAACTGGGATTCAGTCACTTTGACTGTTGGGCAGCAGCCATGGTAACTTGCTTTATATCTTATTATATTTCGTATGTGAATCTTGTACTCATTCTTTGCAAGTGCAAGGGGAAGGAACATGCCACCGAGGACCGGCCACCAAACCACCGCTTGTTTGAAGCACTATTTGAGAATGAATATGGGCCAACAAAATCTCTTCTCACTGAATGTTGTCAGCAAAGGAACACTGTGAAGAATTTACGTGATCCTGCCGCACCTGTTATCCATGTCAATTTTCCTGTTGACATGCTCCATGGACTGCATGCTGGATTGCCACCTGTCCCTCCTGCACACCATCAGCTCCAACCACTGGCCTTGCCTGTTCATCACAGCTTGTGCTCCTTTCTTTGCATGTTGATTTAATCATTGTGGTGTCTTATCATTCTTGTGCACTTTGTCGAGGAAGACAAGCTCATCAGGGCCATACTGAGCCATTTTGTGCATGTAGTCAATGCAAAGATCCTCATTTCATTCTTGTGCTACTCAATGAAGTTTCTTGACTGAGATTCTGGCTCGCTAAAGAGTGTTGTAGATAGTGGTGTAATGGACAGATATAAAGTGGTTTATCTCTAGAAGATGCTGGAGCTCATCTAGGAACCAGTCTGGTCTCTGTTTGACAAGTTTGAGGAGGTGATAGACATCACTATAGTTTAGAGCTCTTGGCCGACCACGACAGAGAGTTTTGGGCTTTTATACATGGCCAGTTGCACGATACTGCTTCAATACATGGAAAAAGGTTGGACAAGAGATGCCCACAGCATCTAGAATATCAGGTATTGAGAGAAGTTGTCTGTTGTACAAGCGGATAACTGCAAGCTTGAGGTTGTCACTGATGCTGTGATACGGCATACCACTGGTAATTTGCAGTATGAACAAATTTACAGAAATTTACGCCAAGTCTTTCTTTCATTGATGTTTTCTCACACTCAACATAGTATCATCATTTTTTCAAATAGCTGTAAATTACCTTACATTCTAGTGTTCAATCAAGTCACATACTGCTACATACTAGTTACCAGTACACCAACTTGCTTACAGAGTGTCATGAATTACTGGCAGCAGATGATTCGTGCTATCACATGACAATCATCCTCCTCAGATCAGAACAGAGCTTAAACTGGTTAATTCTCAAGGGCACTTGGGTGTCACAATAATCAACACAGTCACTGTTCAAGTTTGCGGCTGAGACCAACCTGCTCTCATTAATAGAAAATGGGCCACACTCATGTGGTATACACAAAAAGCTCATCCAAATTGTCTGAGTCACTGGTTATGATGACTTTTGCGTCCTTCAGCACTACTACTAGTATGATCGCACCGCACAGACTCAGACAGCAACAGCGGCTTGCTGAGTCATGAATGTAAGGCTAATGGAAACTCTAGGTCCAGTCTATGTAAAGTCTATATAGAGTCTACTCTGTGTTCTGTCTGGGTCCTGTCTGGGTCCTGTCTGAGGGTGTGCCAGCCGCCTGGCAAGATTCAAGTGGAGTTTAACTTATGATATGATTTACTCTCTCTGCTTCATCATGGCATCACTTCCAGTGCCTCCACCTCAACTGCCCCTTATTCCTGGCACCGCCCTGAGAATGACATCCATCGGGCTTGACGTGGACTGCCTGACCTGCGGAATAGCAGTAACTGTGACAATATATCAGTCCAATAGGAATGGCAATGCTAGTAAGCTAATGGCACGAGTGAGTACCTCATCCTATTGTTGTAGATATGATATTAACCTTGTTACCAGCATGGGCCTTGTGGTTTCTTCAAGTGGTTCCCGGAACTGTTCGACTATCCAGAAATTCTGGCCTGCATGCCTCGTTCGTCTTCAAGCCCTCAGCTTTCTGCAGTGCCTGCCCTCTCACAGAGCAAGAGACCCCAGAAGTGTGGCCCTGATTGTGCATGAGATCTGAGTCAGCAACCCAGTGCACTGCAATGTCCTGAGGGCAAATGTGTGATGCACTGCACTGAGGATGGTGGGTGCACAATTCACTCAGCACCAATACTCGACAAAGGGGCCAGCGGTCATCTGGAGGCCAATCCTGCCACTCTCGACTCCAAAGGCTTTGGATACTACCATCTTCACCAGGCCTTGTCACAATCACTTGTGGCTGATGGCATTGAGGCACCATAACCCCGTCCTGGATGTGTTCCATCTATCCATGACCTCCTAATGGCCCCTCCTCCTACCATACCCTCCCCTGCAGGTTCCTCAGCACACCTACTATCATCTTCTCACCTGAGTGCAACTCCTGTCTCAAGGATGTCCAAACCCCCTTATATTACCAGCCAGCTAGACCCGCTGTAGCAACAAGACCTCCAGCAACATGTGCAGAAAGAGTTAGAGAGCACATGAGTTGCTAAGCGACAGAAGGAAATCGAGCGCAAGTCCAAACAACACTTTGTCTATAACTGATTGCCACAACTTCAATGAGCTCTACAATACCTCCAAGGAATCTATGTGTTGGAACGGTGCACTCTGGCACCAGCATGAAGACAGCAGACATGAGGCTAGAACCTCTGAAGCATGAGAACAAGATGAGGATAACAGCAAGAGCCTCAAAAGCGAAGGCCCAAGGCAGCAAATGGCCAAAGCTAAAGCAAAGCAAAGCCTCAGACAAGCAAACACACAGCTAGTGCTGGTGGAAGAGATGTATGACCTAACCCTAGAACATGAACTATATATGGCTACCTAAGACCTCAAAGACCTCTCCAGGACCCCTGGCACCTGTCCCTGCCAAACCCAACTGCTACCCCCCCCCAAAGATGCGACACCCCAGGGTCACATAGGGACAGGCTGGCGAAATGAAGAGACAGAAGCTGTACGTAGTGACAAAGAATGAAACTGGAAAAATCTAAACTTGTATGTAGTGAAATGCTTGGGAGGTTGAGGATGCAAATTGAATGGGATAGAATCAAACTGAGTAGGATAACATGAGTATTGTAGATGTGAGTTATACCATGAATGTGAATGAGAGCATGTATCAGATGCGAAACAAGAGCATGGCTGAGTATCAGAATGGGACGTGCACAGGTGTGTAGACTGTCGTCGTCGTAGGCTAGACCATGGGTTCTTTGCTGAAGAATGAAGGCATGTAAAATCGCGCGGATATGAAGCAAATAGATGTGTGTCGATGTGTGTCACTCAATCAAAATGTGCAGATGGCTGAAATGTTGTTGTCAAGTTGAGGCCAGCAGGCTGTGAGTTGGTTGTTGGAGTCTCGTCGTCGTCATGCATTTGTGCATCTGTCTCATGTGGTGACAACAGTCCTGCTGAGTGGCAAGGACAAAGTTGGGTCGAGCTAATGCCTAGCTGCTATGT